CCTTTAACTTGGACGCGCGTAAAACTTAAGCCTGTGGTGCGTTTGTGTGAAAATGCCTGTTGTGTGTCTTTGCGTGCGTGACGTAGATCCAGATAGGCGAGATCATTAAAATACCTGCTCCTGCGCTTCAGTCGACCTCTGCTGCGCCGACAGGACAGTGGAATGTATTTGTATGATAATCAGACAAAGATCATGACGAAACACACTTGGAGCAGTCTTTAGTGTTTTCCTTTTGATTTTCTGTGGTTAACAGAAAGTGTCGCACCTTGAAAGTGTAAAGAGCCATAACTACATTATATTCACCAAAATAACTTGCAGTTGTTAATTTGTGTTTAAAACATAATTAGCTAATGCTTGTTGAACACCTTTGAGCTTATTTCACATGTTTGCCTACCCCTCCTTTAGCTATGTCATACTTTGACTTACAAATATAGTGGCTGCACCATGTGTGCTGTGCACACACTTTGTTTGTGGTGTTTCAGCCATACATTTTTATTAATATAACACTGAGATTAGAGAGAATGATCTTGTGCTTTATAAACGGTGTATGAACAGGCCATCGTTGCAGTTCCCTTAGGGTGGACCATAGACAGTAAATAATAGGGTGGATTTGGCAGTAGTCTACTATAAATCCATTAGTATGTCATTATGAATAGAACATTGATGCAAATCCAAAGAGCTGGGCTTGTCTATTTTCTTACAAGCTTACTTTGCTATATCTGAACCACTAGTTGATGTCATGCTAACCATATTGGCATTTGAGTATTGTGTGCCTGAATAATTGGACATAGATGACTTATTGTTCACTGATGCATTCAATTTGTCCCAGTTGCATATAGATTTGAGCCGCCTTTCACTAAAAGCTGTAAAGAGGCTACAGTAGACCTATCTAGTCTTTCTTCATGGGCGAGGCCTGGTACTGTAATGCCTCAAGGGTTTCCATCTCGGATATGACAGCCTGTGCTGGTCTGGAAGGGCCTGATAAGCTGCCGCCCTGTCCCATCACAACCCCATGTAAATGTGTGTGGTCAGCCTAGTGGCCCTGTGTGAGCTAAATTTACCCTGGAACAAGAAGGAAGTCACTTTTCTGAGATTTAGGCCAAAGGCATTTTGATTATTCCCACATGGCTTGTCCTCATGGTTTGCTCATCAATTATCATTTATTTTCTCAAACCAATCACATTTGGGAAAAATAAGTGTATAATTCTAAAAAGTAAGTAAATTGAAACTGCTCAATTATTTACGTATAATTTTATCCTTGAAATTCTTAGCAGGACTATGCACTATAAAAAGCCATGCTAAGAGACTTGTATAACAATGTCAGTGTTATTTTAGTGTTATTTTTATTGAAACTAAACTAAAATAAGATGTGTTGGAGGGATGAACTCAATACATATGACTGCATGTCAGAGTTCTTCTACTATTTCCTTATTTCTCGAGACTGATGTGATTTGCACCTGTTTTTCTAAGTTTCACTATAACTGGTCCAGTGAGGCTCTCAGTATCTTTTTATAATCTTAAATAATTCCTGGTATCAGACTTTCTTTATTGGCAAAGGAAATTGTTGAGTTCTTGATGTCTTTCGGGATCAGCTTTTCTAAATGGATGTGACAAATTACTTGATGTATGTATGTATTTGATCCAAGGTAAGACGACTAGGAGAATGAATACAACTAAATACTACATTTTACAACATTTTAACGATTAATACATCTATGTAATATCAATGGTTCACTCCAAGGGTAGACAATGTGTACACAACTTCCAGAGGTTTTACTTTATTTTTTTGATTTACTCCAGATCTAAGGCCAGGAGCCTCTTCTGAGACATGAATTGGCCTATTTATAGCATCCATCAGGATCAAATGGGTTAATTTCTAGCATTTGCATAGTAGTAGTATTAGGTTTAATCATTGAACACATGCAGCTTGTACATTTACCTAAAAACCATAAGGCTGTATAAAAAAAAACGTAAGCACTCCGAAGATTTCTTGATTCATTAGGCTAGCTAGATAATGCTGTATTCTAGCCTTCACAACGCTAATGGACCTGTGTGGTATGCCTACACTGAGTGCAGTAAACAATGGCCGACTACAGAGTGGAAGTCTGAATATCAGAGTAGAGAAAATGAAAGCCTAGTGGAGCAGTTATGACACTTTTACATGCATTAGCCGAAGGAACTATATATTATGTATATCTCACTAGGTTTACCGTAGAAGAATAAATACAGAACATTTGGACTGGTGAAATGTGTTGTTTTTTTTTTTTTTAACCCTAAGAACTGTTCTGTTGACAAGCTAGTCCCTTGAAGAGTTCAAAGAGTACCAAATCACTTTAATGAAGAAATTCCCAAACACATTCAATATTAGACTAAAGCAGGTCTGGGCTGCTGGGCTGGGGTAGTGCTGGGATGGGGCACTTTGGGGATGCATGGGGGAAATCGGAGGCTGTGCTTATGGCTCTCAGTAGTTTAAAAACTTAAATGTCAAAACCTGAATGTTGGCTGATAAACAGGTTGAGACTTTCACTACTTTTGAACATGTGCAAGTACATTGATGTATGCATTTGTCTGAGAAAATGCTTTAAAACAGATTCTCTTTGATAGGCATTCTCTTCACAATCCTAACAATATTGCAATCTCAGGTGAAGCTCTGTTCAGTTCAAGCCTGGCCTTAACCATCCGTAAACTCTAGTTAATTATCAATTCCCTGTAGGAAATTAAATGAGTACAATGGTATGGTTAGAACAGGCTAGTTTAGTTCAGTTTTATACTTAGTCCGAAGGAACAAACAAACAATCTCATGTTTATTCAAAATAAGTCCTGAATAGGGATATTTGTCTGTCCCAAATACATATATATTTTATCATAATATTGTGACAGCAACAGTAAAAAGATAGTACAGCACGTTTGTGAGTTTTAACTTAGTTAACTTAATTTGATTTTAGGGGCTTTCATTGCAAAATATCAGTACTTGAAAATAGGGCTGGGCAATAAATCAAATTTAGGCAAATTGGCTTTTGAAATAATCGAATTTGTGAAAAATGTGAAAATTGTGAAATCGAATCAAGGATATTGTGAGAGTTCCAGCAGCACATGAATTATACTTATATCAGCACAGTCTGTATTAGACTTTTATAATACGTATTGGGCGAAACAAATTAAAAATAGTTTTGAAACTTGAATATTGAGCGGAAAGATCAAAACATATTTTTAAGGGCAAAGTCTGTCTTCGGTGACTTTGATGAAAATCAATAAAAAATCGAAATTGTCCAAAGCCGGAAGTAAAATCGAGATTTTACTTTTTGGCCACATCGCCCAGCCCTACTTGAAAACATAGTACATTTGGTACAGTATGTGCCACAGCTGCAACGTAAGATAAAGATGATATATCAGTGAAGAAAACGGTCAGATGTTCTACAGCATTATAAGCAACAAGACCAGTTTTCACTGCATTTATGTTTTCATACCCAAGCAAAACACAGAAGTTCCTCTACATACTGTATCTGCCACATTTCCAATAGATACATTTGCTTTAAATTCAGATCATCAATGCATACTGGTGTAATGATACGCTCAGTCACTATATAAATTGCATACAAAGTCTTCTAAAAGGTCCTTATCTTCAATAGATTTTGATACATTATTCATATCTTTCTCATCGTCACATACTGCATACCACAATCACTATCTGCAATCCCTTGTAGCATCTGCGTGATGCACAGAGCACACTGACAACATACATCCACAATGCAGAGCCCGAAGACATGACACAGCCCAGCAGCCTCTGGGCCAAAGTCCAGACTGGAGCTGCTCAATCCTGTCACCACTTCATGCTTGAGATTCCATTAGCTTCCTCTCAACCTCAGACGTCTAAGAAGAGGGGGGTTCAGACAAGACAACAAATCTCTCAATAAGAAAGTCCAGCACCGATGTCAAGCTGATGAAATGATTTTGGTAAAAATGGACGATATAATGTTTCAAGATTTACAAATGTAGAATATCAGGTAGGGCTGGGAGATTCATATCGGTCGATAACGATATATATTGAACCTATTAAACCTAAATAAATATATTTGTCGTGTGGGCTAACCAACCTTAGCAGCCTTGTTTACAGTCACGGGGCGATGAGGCTGGAGGAATATGTTCACACTGTGTCCCTCGTTGTTAGTCCTGGTTTAATCCTGGTTTAGCTCCTGGTTTAGCTGTTTGAGGGTCTTGTGTCCCCGTGACCGCTCCGTGCGGCTCTCTGTGCCGCACATGCTTCCCGAGGAAAAAGTTAATCTCTTGCTTTCGCCGAATACATCGGTTCTGTCCACTGCCTCTGCCGCCGCCCATGTTATTCCGCGCACGTACGTGCATAACCATTGACACGGCATTGAAACACGAGCTATAGATCCATGGACGCTACGCATGGTGCGGTTGTTGTTGTTTTTGCATTTCCCACAAAGTTTTGCGGTTCCTGCTCGGCTGTTATTGGTCGAGAAGCCTCTGCCTACATCCCCCACAATGCCATGCGCTTATGAGTCGGCTTTACTTCCGGTGTTTTCTTCCTGTTTTTCCTGACGGAGTTAAGTTAAACTATCGAACATTCTATCAACCCCATTCTCTATTGATATCGAACACATGTCTATCGCGATATATATCGTTATCGTTTTATCGCCCAGCCCTAATATCAGGTATATTCTCAATCTATAATATAACAAACTACCAAACAAATGGGCCATGGATATCATTTGAATCCAATTTTTATGTTTTTTTATCAACAGAGAAGTCACATACAGTGCCTTTGCGAAAGTATTCGGCCCCCTTGAACCTTTCAACATTTCGCCACATTTCTGGCTTCAAACATAAAGATATAAAAATAAAATTTTTGTCAAGAATCAACAATAAGTGAGACACAATCGTGAAGTGGAACGAAATTTATTGGATAATTTAAACTTTTTTAACAAATAAAAAACTGAAAAGTGGGGCGTGCAATATTATTCGGCCCCCTTGTGCTAATACTTTGTAGCGCCACCTTTTGCTGCAATTACAGCTGCAAGTCGCTTGGGGTATGTCTCTATCAGTTTTGCACATCGAGAGACTGGAATTCTTGCCCATTCTTCCTTGCAAAACAGCTCGAGCTCAGTGAGGTTGGATGGAGAGCGTTTGTGAACAGCAGTCTTCAGCTCTTTCCACAGATTCTCGATTGGATTCAGGTCTGGATTTTGACTTGGCCATTCTAACACCTGGATACGTCTATTTGTGAACCATTCCATTGTAGATTTGGCTTTATGTTTTGGATCATTGTCCTGTTGGAAGATAAATCTCCATCCCAGTCTCAGGTCTTTTGCAGACTCCAACAGGTTTTCTTCCAGAATGGTCCTGTATTTGGCTCCATCCATCTTCCCATCAATTTTAGCCATCTTCCCTGTCCCTGCTGAAGAAAAGCAGGCCCAAACCATGATGCTGCCACCACCATGTTTGACAGTGGGGATGGTGTGTTCAGGGTGATGAGCTGTGTTGCTTTTACGCCAAACATATCGTTTTGCATTGTGGCCAAAAAGTTCAATTTTGGTTTCATCTGACCAGTGCACCTTCTTCCACATGTTTTGTGTGTCTCCCAGGTGGCTTGTGGCAAACTTTAAACAAGACTTTTTATGGATATCTTTGAGAAATGGCTTTCTTCTTGCCACTTTTCCATAAAGGCCAGGTTTGTGCAGTGCACGACTGATTGTTGTCCTATGGACAGAGTCTCCCAGCTCTCAGCTGTAGTTATCTGCAGTTCATCCAGAGTGATCATGGGCCTCTTGTGTGCATCTCTGATCAGTCTTCTCCTAGTTTGAGATGAAAGTTTGGAGGGACGGCCGGGTCTTGGTAGATTTGCAGTGGTCTGATACTCCTTCCATTTGAATATAATTGCTTGCACAGTGCTCCTTGAGATGTTTAAAGCTTGGGAAATCTTTTTGTATCCAAATCCGGCTTTAAACTTCTCCACAACAGTATCTCGGACCTGCCTGGTGTGTTCCTTTGTCTTCATGGTTCTCTCTGCGCTTTAAACAGAACCCTGAGACTATCATTGAGCAGGTGCATTTATACGGAGACTTGATTACACACAGGTGCATTCTATTTATCATCAGTCATTTAGGACAACATTGGATCATTCAAAGATCCTCACTGAACTTCTGGAGTGAGTTTGCTGCACTGAAAGTAAAGGGGCCGAATAATATTGCACGCCCCACTTTTCAGTTTTTTATTTGTTAAAAAAGTTTAAATTATCCAATAAATTTCGTTCCACTTCACGATTGTGTCCCACTTGTTGTTGATTCATGACAAAAATTTAATTTTTATATCTTTATGTTTGAAGCCTGTAATGTGGCAAAATGTTGAAAGGTTCAAGGGGGGCGAATACTTTCTGTACTCACTGTATTTCTGAAATCAAGAGGTCTGCATATTTCATGTTACTTATATTGATAGCACTTTTTATGGTTACTAAAATTAGATTTCATTGTCACTTCCGGACGCACCTTTGCAGACAAGCTCCTGGTCCACTCATTAATCAGAATTGGAAATCTCATTGGTTACATGACCCACTAGCTTAACTGCAAGAGTGAAAAAAAATAATCTCAGGGAAAGCAAGCGCTACTCTTTAAGACATTCAACATATCCAGAGACACTGTGGGAGAACGGTGAACGTTATTAGTAATGCTTATAGGGCCGAGCGAATCTGGAAGCAGCGAAGGGGTACCAACTAAACTACTACAATCAAACAAGGAAGCCAGGGAAAATGCCAAAACATGTTCAGCAGCTCAAGTTAGAGTGATATAATATGTGTTATTGAACATTTATGTGCTACGGATGAGGCAGAAAAGTGAGAGTCGCAGAGCTATTAGGCCCCTGAGGACAGTGTTGGTGCTGACCCTAACAAACAGATATTGCTTATGCCTTTAAATGACTTATCATGATTAACCACACCATATTTTTAGTTTCAGCTTTGCGATTAAAGGTCACATTTTGAGAACATGTTATATTTGATTTTGAATTGACCATTTTGACGGTTAATATGCTTGGAGACTCACAGATAAGCAATTCCTATTTTTTGTGACCATGGATTGATAGACTTCTTTGAATGAGATGAAGGAGATTTAACCTTCAGCTAGCTATATAGATGTTATTTGCTATGTTATTCTATATGTGCCCCCTTTCAACCTGGAGACATTATTGTGTTGCATTATAGACTAACAAAAGGTTATTATTTTATCATTTATATGTGTTTTATTGCTGAAGAAAAGAAGTTGTGACCCGTAACTTGCCATGATGGCTTCATATCTATTCTTCAGATGAGTATTCTTAATGCTGTGCTTGTAATAGTCTGAACTTGGGCTGTATTATTATTCACTTCATTATTCATTGAAATACATTTTCGCTCAAAAAATCTGTTACTACACTAAAAGTATGAAGGATTATGTATATAGTGGTACATTCATCAAGGGGTGGCATGGATGAAAGTCCTGATTAGTCTGTATGCAATTTAGTTTAATATTTGTATTTTGTGTTCTAAATAATTAATCAAAGAATAATCATGAGAATTTTGAATCATTAGAAAGATAATTGTATATTCGAGACTAACCAATGTATTTTTCAAAGAGAAAATAGGGTGGTGTAACCCACATCAGAAAAGGTGGCATATGTACCATAAAACATTTCTGAAACTAGAATAAAAGGAAAAGTCCATCGTAAAATAAAATAAAAAGAAATATTGCTGTTTCACCCATACATAGGTTTCACACACCTATGATGGGATAATGGGAGAATTATCTCACCAACCATATGATTGCATCTTAAAAAGATAAAGGGTTATCTTTAGCAATACAAATAAAGAAAACTGAATAAATCCTCTTTTATGTTTGATTCCTTACAGCCACCTGTGACCCCCTCGTCTCATCCACCCATGGCCCCCACCAGTCCCAGCACAAACAGCAGTGGCGGCAGCACGGCTGGCTGGGAACAACTCAGCAAAACCAACCTGTACATACGCGGCCTGGCCCCCTCCACCACAGACCATGACCTGGTCAAACTCTGCCAGGCGTGAGTCCTATACTTCCTCTCTGTTACACATATTGACCCAGGATATTGACCCAGGATATTGACCCAGGATATTGATGAAACACAGTGGCACACGAGGAGAGCTATAGCACCGCTGTTTTTTTACATTTAAAGTGTTTGTTAATAAGCCAGTCAGAGCCTGGTGGAGTCAGGAAAAGAGCTGCACAGGAAGCAGATTGAGAGGAAATCCATTGAGGATAGTGACCGAGTGTGACTCCAGCACAGGTTGCTAATACTTATGCTGTGTCATGGGAATCAAGCCAATCCAAGGACACAACAACAGCAGCCATCAGTTGGATGACCATTGCAATATAGTGTCCTTAATAATGCTTTCTCGTTTTCCAGTTAAATAGTGACTGAGAACAGTGCATGTGAACTTGTGTTCGCCACAGTGGTGATTCCTATGAACTACAGGAATCTTTCTGTAGTTGATGGTGCACTGAAGCACACTTGTTCCATATGATTTAAAATTAGACTTCAGATAAAGAGAGGTCATTAGTTCACGATCTTTCACCCAGTTTAGCATTTAGGCTAATCCTATGCTAAAAAGCTTTCTGGGTTAACTTCCTTTTGCGTATATTCATTTTTAATGTTGCAGAAAGTGAAAGCAGTTCTATTAAAAGCATGTTTTCTTTATTAAGTAAAATGAATGGAGTACATGATCTTGCTGGTTGAGTAAGGCTTTACTTAGACTCCTACAGTGAAAGGTTTGACTGCTTCACTCTGTATTCACATGGTGGGGATTTTCTTCACCCAATGGAAACCACTTCCTGTTTCTCATGTTTTCACAATGATGTCATACGGCTCTTGCTCAACCCTTCCTCTTTGTCTGTTTTATAACATGTCTGGGACACAGTCTCACTCCCAACTCTACCTCCCTGTTTCTGCCTCTAGGTATGGCAAAATAGTCTCAACAAAAGCCATTATGGACAAGACAACAAATAAGTGCAAAGGTGCGTAACACAGTACTTGTCCAACTTGCATCTTGTTCCAAATGATCAACAGAACCCAGGGAGGATTTGCGACACCTCACTGTAAGACAACTTCATTGCACTTGCTCAAAATTGGGGAACATCCAAGGTGCGAAATCCATCCAGACTTTAGTCATTGGACAGAAATGTGGCTATATCAAGCTGAGTGAGTGAGAATACAAAACAGCCAGAGCTAGTGTTATTAGCAACAAAGCAATTGTCTCGTGTATTTCACTGCAATGAATTTACTAATATTAGCCCATGTGCATTTACCACTCATTAGTGCAATCTTTTGAATTGAATCGATTAAAAGTGGCTATTGACATAATATGATAAGGATGGATTTTTAGAGGACGTTTGTAATAATATATAGGTCATTTCAAATAAATACGTTGTGTGCTGCATGTATTAATTATAGTGCTGTCAAAAATATCGCGTTATTAACGCGTAAACGCAAATCAATATTAACGGCGTCATTTTTTTTATCGCGCGATTAATATTTATTTTTTTTTATTTTTTTTTTACTTTTTATTGCAGACAAACACATACAGAAAAAAAATAGAAACAAAGAAAATGACTAGTTCAGATACATTGTAGACAGATTACAAACAATATGTACTTGGAGATACAGGGGGCCAAAGAAGAAACCCAGAAGGGCACATAGGAGAAGTGTTGTGCGTGAACGAGTTCAAAAGAACGCGTTCATTGAACACGCTCATTTTTTTGTGAACATTGAACTGAACGCAACACATTTTTAAAAAAAGAACTTGAACGTGAATTAGTTCATTTTATGTGTCACGAACGGCAGACATCACTATGAACGTTGGAATCGGTTTTCTCTTTTAAAACGCAACGAGAGAAAGTTCCTCCATCCTGTATTCTCGCACTTTTTCCGCCGAAATCAAAAAATTCCTACGGTTTCCACCGTCTGTGAACGCACCCCGACTCCGTGTTGCGGTGCGGCGCTTTGAGCTGGTGCTTTTCACATGTGCCCGAGTCGTGATGAAAACACAGGGTGAGTTAGCGACAAAGTTTACACCGTTTACATTTGACACAAAGTATAGACACACGCACTACAGCGCATTACTGTCTGTAGTTTATGAGCAGAGATGGGGCAACTCCGTTTGGCTCCCATTGAAAACCATGTAAATCTTGTCTGTTTTGTAGTCAAAAGGCTCTCCTCCTGTGGATGTACAGGAGATATATATATATATATATATAGCTTGTAGTGTGAAAAAAATATGTATTTATCTCACGAAAAAAGTAAAATGAACTGAACTTTGAACTAGTTCAGAATTAAAAATGTGAACTTTGAACGTGTTCTGTTCACTTTGAGCATGTATGAACTGAACTTGAACTAGTTCAGAATAGCTGTGAACTGGCACAACACTGCATAGGAGGGGGGGGGGGACATGAAGTGGGAGATGGGGGGGAGGGGTTAATAAAAAAGGCAATACAAGCAAACAGTATACAGTCATAGATATACCGAAAGTAAACAGAGAAACAGCATAGAGTATTTACATGAACAAATTTACAAAATATTTACAGATTGTTTATCATCATCATAATGACACCATGATGTTTCTATACAGTCTATGGTCTATACCCACACATACACACACACACCCACACACACACACACCCACACAAATGTGTGACTAATTTGCGATTAATCACGAGTTAACTATGAAATTCATGCGATTAATTGCGATTAAATATTTTAATCGTTGGACAGCACTAATTAATTACAATACACTCTTGATGAGTGAACATTTCATTTTCCACAAACAACTTCCCTGCGGATATTAGAGTTAGGGTTTTCTTTTAAAACTGTATGAAGGATTCAAAAATAAAAAAAAGCTTTGGACCAGGCCACACATTTTTATGTCAAGTGGTCTTTTCATGTAGATTTAAATGCTAAATATGGTACAGCAAAAACATTCCCATGGAGACAGACATATTGTGCTTCTAATAGAGTCATAACACACGTGGCCTGAAATGTGAAATCTGTAAATGGTCTAAATATGATTCACGTTAATCTCTATATGGAAAAGTTAAATCCTTAGGTTACTAGACTTATGCTGCCAGCTATATTAATATGACCTTAACTGCTCGTTTCAGGATATGGTTTTGTAGACTTCGACAGCCCTGCGGCGGCTCAGAAAGCCGTGGCTGCGCTCAAGGCGGCCGGTGTCCAAGCTCAGATGGCAAAGGTGAGGATTCATTACGGTCTAATCCCGATATCACATTCATACACTGAACTGCATCCCACCCTTTCTCACTGTAAAGGCCATAGGAGACCGCTCAGCCACTCTATTGAACTATTAAGACCTCCGCTTTTTATTTTCGAAAACCGGTGGATTTATTAGACACTGTGGTTTAGCGTCAGTCGATGCAAGGGGATGTCAATTTCTCTGTGGCTGGCATCACGCTGGGAAATTAATGGAAGTGGTTCTTTTGCGACAGTGTATATTGTTGGGACTTTATCAACGATATAACTAATCTGAGGGGAAAAAACTAATTTTTTACCTCCTTCGTTTTTTTTTTTATAAGATAATCCTTTATTTGTCCCTAAGTGGGGAAATTTCAAATAAACAAATGAACAAATTTGATAAACGATGCTGTTCTGTCAGATTGGATCACCTCATTTGTCAACAAGAATGTACAGTAAATCCCATGTTAATATTTGTTTGGTATGTTTACATTTCCCTGTTATCTCTCAGAAGTTCACTCTTGCCTGAATTCATGTTATCACCCATTTCAATAGATGTAGGTATATTTAACTCGGTTAGATATTAATTTGCTTGCATTTTGTGACTATATATTACTGGTTTAGAGACAAACCACAAAGTGTCATCAAATCCATCTAATCCAACTACTTCCTCGCTCTGGCTCTATCACTCGTTTTGACAGGGATATAGTTTTGGCCCCATCAAATCTTTAGATCAGCTTCAAACAGAGAAATTAACCTCAATGCATCAAACAGTGACTCACAGGGCTCTTTCTTACAAGCATGCCAAATAAAATATATTTTGTGATAAGAATAAGAAAGCATGTCTGTACACAATATGTTACTTTTACAGAACTCTTTCTGTCTGGGGCAAACAACAAAAAAGGTTGAGTAAAGCTGGGGCTCCTCACCCTAGCTCTAAGACAATAAATGGAGAGATAAGTGAGTTTGTTCTTTCCACATTGGCAACAGTTTCTTTAAATAGGAAATAAAGTGTTAGCCAGAAACGTCTTGAAAGAAGTAGAATTGTTAAGAATCATCAAGTTAATAGAACTAAAGTGACTACTGAGAAACAACACTCTGAATTCACACGTATGTAGAAACGGCGTGGCTAAGGTTGGTTTACAAATCATAAGCCTTTGTTTCTTGTGGCGCATATGTAACTCAGATTGCAGCGGTATACTGAGAGCTCATACTGGGAGCCAGCTTTTAGCAGAGCAGAATGGCGTCAACAGTCAGGCTCCGAGTGTGCCGGGTCGGGTTACAGTGCGCTGACAGCTCAATGACGTACGAGAGAAGGTATCCACTGTGGAGCCGTGCATTCAATCCTGTTTAGAACAAGAGAGCAGTCACTATGTCTGCTTAACATTGATATATTTAGTTGACTGTCAATTTGAAGCTACGCAGCCCGATAATCTGCGTGGAAGTTAAATGGCCCACGGTGTTTGTCGCAATGAGTGTGTGAGTGAGGTTGTATTTTGGAAACATGTGCTCTGTGACTTTAAAACAGGAAGTAAATAGTGTGCGTTGTTATGGCAACCTGACACGGGACGGCTAAATGAGTTCCCATAGAAAACTGGGAGAGAGTCCTTGGCCTGGTTCCCCTCTCCTGGGATCTGGTGAGCTTCTGACATGCCTCTGTGCACCCATTGGACTTTTTTTAATTAAATAGAGCAACTCAGAGTGGCCCGGCTGAATTTAATCTGTGCGTTGTTGTGGAAGGTGAATGTTTTTATGAACTCCAGACTATATGCACCCAAAGACTGAATGAAAGGCTGGCAGTGTTCTCTTCTGTCAATTATGTGAAAGTTTCAAAAATGTGTCCTGCATCACTAAGTTCTCTCGCTCCCAAAATCTGTTCCAACTAAAAATCAAGTGATTTCTTTGTGCGTGAATTATATATGTGTTTGTTGTTGTAGTATTAAAGTCAAATTAGTATAATGTTTGCACTTTTTAAGCTTTTGTAGAAATGTAGGGTGCAAAATGAATAAAATGTATTAACATCATTGTGGATAATAGTCTTAGTATTGTGACAGCAATGATTTACTTTTAAATCCTGATACATGTGTAACATTTAGAAAATGTATAAACCGCTAAACTAATATACAGATTTCTTTGCATTTCAAATGATCACTCATAATTCACATAAACAAATCAGACATTTTCAAATTTCTATCTATCTATTGTCATTAACCATTTCCTCCTAGGAGGCTGGTTGACTACAGGAAGAAGTTCCTATCACACACACTCATTCATCCACATCACTTTTACTGAAATTGAATTGCCTAAAATTGTCATTTTATTTAAAAGGACAGAAATGACCTCTGATTACATCATTCAAATGTGATTAATGTTTTAGCCCCTCAAAAGCACTCCACTGATCCTATGAGTCTTTGCTGTAGTTCACTGGGTGAGACCAATGAGTCCTGGGCAGTCTGAAAACTAAAAATACGCTCGCTAAAAATATCTAAAAATGAATAAAATATTATACATAAAAATGTCTCAAAATACAAAATCTAAAAACTACTACTTACAGTATACACGTGTTATTTATGATAGCTTTTACAAAGCCCCTTAGTCTTTGACCTTTTTTTTTTTTACTTACATTGTTGTGTATTGTACTGTTGTAATCCAATCGTCCCTGTGCTGCTGTGCTTTGATGAATTTTAATGTAAGGGACCTCCTGGGAAACTGCTCTCACGTGTATCTTACAAATCTAGAGCCGAGTTCTCATTCACTCTAGAAATGAATGAGTAGATCTGACCTGAACACAACTTCAACAACTTGAAGTTGTGTTCAAATCTCTTCTTAAAACCCACTTTTATCAAACAGCTTTTAACTGTTAGTTTTAAACTTCCGATGCTGTATTTTATTGTCTGCTTTGTCTTTGTTGAGTCTCTTTTGTGTTTTGCTCTGTTTGCTTTGTGTTTCTGTATCTAATTATTTTGACCTTGCATTATGACTGTTTTTATTGTTTATCATGCTGACTGTGCAGCGCTTTGTAAACACTGTTTTTAAAAGTGCTATACAAATAAAGATTATTATTATTATTATTATTATTGAAGAGGTGGCTTGAGTCTTGTGTTAACCAGTGGTTATGTTGTATGACTTATAGATATATATAACTTATTTCAGCAACAAGAGCAAGACCCCACAAACCTGTACATCTCTAACCTGCCCCTGTCGATGGATGAGCAAGAGCTGGAGAATATGCTGAAGCACTTTGGTCAGGTTATATCAACCAGAATTCTACGAGATTCCATAGGAACCAGCAGAGGAGTAGGATTTGCAAGGTAAAATCTCTTAGGGAAGGCAAATGTTTAAAGCAAGAATGGTTGACCTACTCTGTCTTTTTCGTCTTCTGTCTAAACTAACCCATCATTCTTAATTTAAAAAACTAATGTTACTACATCTCTCAATTTTTTCTTATTTTTTGTTTTACAAATTGCATACCACAATGTATTCATAACAGGATACTTAATTTTCTCCTGTGCTCGCTACTACAGGATGGAGTCTACAGAGAAGTGCGATGCTGTCATATCACACTTCAATGGAAAGTTTATTAAGACACCTGCAGGCGTACCAGGTGAGAAATGTGTAATTATTCTGGTGTAAAACTTTACAACAGTGCGTGCAGACAAGGGTGGAGGAGGGCATACGTGAGTGCGAGCCGCATTAATGGCTAATGAGTGGTGTGTGCAGAATAAACTGGTCAGCCCACTGATTCATGTCTCCTGCAGGAGTCTGTGAGTCTGCTGCAGATGATCTCATAGAAAAAAGAGCAGAGGAAAAGGCCTGGTGTGGCTGTCACTCCCACTCTAAGCTTTTTAATTGGATTATTTGACTGAAATAGTCTGTGCTGCTTCTGAGTGGGGAGGGGATTAGAACTCCACAGCTGCCAAATTAGATGTCTTTCAGACTGACCAGTAAATGTGCATGCTGGGAATGAGTGACGGTAGCCAATCCTAATCTATAGTTTATAGAAACATATTGGATAGGTTTAAGTTGAGTAGAAGACAGATCATTTCCCAAGTATCTTAACAACAGTAATAACAACTTGTATTAATTATGTGTACAAAGGCTAGAACATACTGTAATTGTCCTAATATTTACTTGTTGACAGCAAACCTAACTAAAAGCGTTTCAGCGAAAGTTGTTAATACATTTTTTTGTTGCTGTTATTTTTTTAATTACTTTGTTGATGTTGTTAATAAATTACTTTTGCACTAACAGCGTAAGTGAGTATTTGAATGTTTGTCATTTCAGCACCAACAGAGCCATTGCTGTGCAAGTTTGCTGATGGTGGACAGAAAAAAAGACAAAGTCAACATAAATTTTCTCAAAATGGCAGAGGCTGGGGGAGAGATGCTGACAACAGATTGGTATGTTTCATTTAGGGAAATTGTTTCTAAAATAATCGTACTCACTAAAAGAAATCCTCACTCAGTGTTGAGTCAATCAAAATGCCCTCCTTGGGTGCCACGAGTTTAAATGATAATGTATTCATTCAACAGTTATAATATCCCCCCGCAAAATTATTGCGTATACATTCATATAATTTTGAGGTTTATTTTTGTTTTTTTGTTTGAAATCTGTGCTTGCGTGTTCCACCCTCAGGCCGGGATGACGCTCACATACGACCCGAGTGCAGCTGCTCTGCAGAATGGGTAAGCTTCACACAAAAGAGCAGTGTCATGTTACACTGGGCAGCCATTGTTTTCATTCTCACACATCTGAATCTTGTGTCAGCAGATTTTTCCCACCTGCGTATGGCATCACAAACAGGATGTTTGCACAAACGTCCATGTCTCCTTATATGTCCTCCGTTTCACCATACCAGGTTTCATTTTGTTTTGAATTTGTAGAGAATTAACGTAAAGCATCCACCGTAAGCCATAAACTATGCAATGTTTCAGATGCAAAACCCGTCCTGGATGCCTCATCAACCTTACATCATGCCTCACCCTGTAAGAGACAATACATACTATTATAATGTATTTCTAAGACTGTATGCAAACATACTTGACCCTATGATTTTTTTTAAACACAAAGTTGCATCTTAAATTTGAAATTAATATGTGATATTTCCTTGTGTTCAAATAATGTAAACAGATACAGCACTATGGAACATATCATTTTCTTATTCTGATACATTATTTGTGCCTCACAATTGTTTTTCGAATTCCAGGGAACAGTGATATCTCCCTCTATGGACCACTCTATGTCACTGCAGCCGGCCTCAGTGATAGCTCCTCTCACACAGCAAATGAGCCACCTCACATTAGGAAATGCAGGAGCGGTGAGGAATAACACACTATTTGTATTTTTTAAACACAAGTAACACATATTTAGAGGGAAGGAAAAACGTAGATCTATTAAATAATAATAATCTTTTCTTTTTATCACCTTCTGCGGTCGGTTATATATTAGAGCTGCAACTAACGATTATTTTGTAATCGATTAATCTATCGATTATTTTTACGATTAATCGAGTAATCGCTTGGCTGTGAATTGTGTAGAAAAAAAATATTTTTTCATCACAAAAAGCTAAAATGGCCACACTCGGACGTATTGATGGCGTAAACTTAAAGTTTGTAACAGGCTCTTTGTGCTAATTCTGCTATCTGATTGGATGAGACAGACAGATATTCATGAAATTATAAAAACAAAGTCGGTTTTAATCAAAAATACTACATTTTCATGTCATTTTTGCTCTGTTTGAGTCCGTAGGAACCAGAAAACGATTAATCGATTACTAAAATAGTTGTCAACTATTTTAATAATCGATTAGTCATCAATTAATCGATTAGTTGTTTCAGCCCTATATATATATATATATATATATATATAAATATATATTGCTTTTATAAATTGCCAATATTTCCTGATATCTGGGATATTAGAGGATATTTAGGCATACATACCAAGTGCTTGTTTCTACCAAAGAGTTCTGAATTTCACTTGCACAATTTAGAAGACCCTTGTTTCAAGACGGGCAGCCCTGGGTCATTTGCATTCCCAGATATTTGAAGTTGTCCTATCCTATATATTTGAATTGTCAGTATAGCAGTTAAATTGAAATAATAGATTTTTATTTTTTTGTCCAGTTTGTGCCAGCAAACACACCAATACAATCTATACAAGGAGCCTTCATACCGCAGTACTCACACATGCAGTCCACTCCTGTTTCCGTAGAGGTATGTAATGTACAATAATGTAAGCACTAGCTATTAGCTTCATCTGCTCAAACAATTGCACGACAGCAAACAACTGTCATTAGGAATATTTCTTTGTTGTTCCCAGGAAAACGGTGCCCAGTCAGTGGACTCATCGGGTAACCCTTCCCCATACGCCTATCAACAAACCAAGTAGTGCTGACTGTGATAACGTTTGAACTGAAGATAAAACAATCAAGTCTACAAAAGAAGCTGTCACTGTTTTGCACAGGTTTTGCAAAACATGTTTTCAAAAATGTAGAGTTTTTATTTTGATACAAGAAACGTTTATTTTTTACAAAGGCTCAACACACTGAGGATTGTGTAATTAGTGTGCATAGTGCATGGAAGATAATGTTGTTTTCTTTTTCAGATGATCTCAAACATGTGCTTGCTGTGTGAGTGTTGCTATGGTGATGTGTTGTGTCTTTTACTTTTGTGAGTGATTTTTTTCCCCTGAATCTCAGTCTTTCATACTCTGATTAAATTTGCCTTAATACATTTATTGATCACAAACACAAGATTATGTTAAATCTGATTTCTATGGATGTACATTTTTTGGTTCTAGATGTTTGTAGATGTTGTGGACCTTTTGGAGTGGTGTAAATTGTTGGGATGGGGTATGAAATGGGATATTTTGTAATTATGCTTTCTAATTTTATACTTCACTAACTGGAAAATGCAGACTGCCGTCAGCCCTCTGTAGACATACAGTTCACTAGTTTATCATTGTCCTCCGGGTCCCAAAAGCAGTTTGGTTTGCTGTTCTACTCCTCACCTTCTGAAAAGTTGGCACTTTTCGAACCATTAAATATCACAGATATGCAAGAAATGCACCCATCATGCAGATGTTAGTTGCATCATTTAACTAGTGTGCCTTTTTCATTTTTTCATTCATAAAAATTAGACCAGAATAATGAAGGATGAATCTAATTCATTTTATGGAAATAGTTTCAGTACTCTTTTATTGTGGCACTAAAGGTGGTTTTGATAAGATCTATATATATATTATCAGAGGGGGTTATGCAGGCTATGTCTATAGAAGCCTGTATTTTAACCCAGTGGTCAGCCAGACCAGCTTTCTACCTCACAGCGATATGTCCAGCCCGCCTCAGACCAAATGCCATGCTCAGGAGCTGGTACAGCCGTTTTTCTTTCAGGTCATTTTTTATACAGTTTTCTTCAGACCTTATTTTCTATAATCTGTTACTATTGGGGAAATAGTTCTTGTTGCGCTGCTGCTGTTTTTTGCATATGTGATGGACGAGCTTCTTCATACAATTTCATATGTCTTGGGGCTAGTCAAATTTGCAGTAGCGTTTCCTTGTTATTTTTGGAAAAACCTAAATGTCTTTGATTGATTTGATATTTCTATGTACTACACAAGACTGAGAAGTGATACTGTCATGCAAAGGTTTATGCTGCTAGTGTTTGAACCAAGTGCCATCGAGCCACAGAGGTGCATCACAGACAAATTGTTCCTAGTTAATTCGTTAATTAGTTCGGTCAATTTGTCATTAAGTTATAAAATAGAAAAAAAGTTGTAATTTATGAAGATATTTTGTACAAACCGCTTGAGGAAATTCATAGAACTATATGAAATTTTATTGTTTCATTTTGTTGGTTTGCTTGTTTTTTAACTCGTGTCACAAAATCGTCTGTGGCATCTGTACAGTTTAAGGAATGTTTCTGGTGTTTGTTTTTGTTTTTTAATGTTTGTTAAAGCCAAAGACTTTTTCAGCAGATTGTGGCCTATTGTATATTCTGTTCTCTTCTTTGAGTTTTTGAATTAAACTTGAGTTAAAAAAATGCCCTTTGTGTAAAATCGTAGGTATTGTTATTGGAATAAAGTACTTGTAATGTCCAGAGGATAAAAAAGAAAAGAGTGGACTGTAATTGGAAACCATAGTAGCCATGCTATTACGTTCATGGCCTGGCCCAGACTGTGGCTGACAGGAGGTGTGTTGAGGAGAGAATGGGGTAGCACTCTAGTCATGATCTGAGTTTGGATGTAGTATATGAAAATGGTGCTTTGCCACAGCAGATGGGTCCCCACAGTCTCCTGCAGGGTGTTGTGCCACTCTCCGGGGCGCCACCAGCTCCAGACGAGGAGCAAAACTCCGGCTCCAGCTGTCTATGTTTGTGCCACCTACGCCCACAAGTAACAAAGCACAAACTCTCTTTCCTCCGACACAACAAGCACACTGCCCCAGGGGCTGTCCTCACTGCTGAGAGGAATGTGGGGCAAGGATTGTTTTCTACAAGCAAAGAAATATACACGGATCAAATACAACATCTTTCAAACGTGCACTGGGACTTTCCTGGTGACAGCAGGAGGCACATGGAGATGGGTGTTATTGCCAAAATGTTCCACAGTGTGGCATTTTGTTGTATTCCAGGTTGGGCTACAATTATAAATAACCTGAAAAACATAGAATCTCACTCAGAGTGGTTACACCTACTATTTATGAGTATAGAGTTAATGCTTCACTGGAACAACCCCTGTAAAGCTGTAATAAGACTGTCATCTTCATAACATATCAACATTATTAATAAAAATTTGAAATTAACAATATATGTATTTTCTTTAGGATGACATGAGTCAAATGTGAGTTTTAAATTGTGATTATGTGTTTACACTTTCAGGCGTGCACTTCAGCCACCTCGACCACAAACTGTGTGTTTTGCGCCATCTAGAGGCGAGCAGTCATCATTAACCCAGACGGTGCTTTTCCTGCAGATTAATCACTGTACGTGCCTCTTTTCGGCAGATGACGATATTTTTCGCGTTACATTTGGCCGTTTACATGGAGCGTTTCACGCATAGCCTAATTTGAAAGGACTGAACTGAGCCTTTTTCCGGATTAGTTGGTGTAAAAGTGGGAGGGGTGTGTATTGGAGGTGGTTACCATTGTCAGAATCATAGACTGAACTAGAAAAACTTGCCAGGAAAGTGGGAGGTTTGGAGTGAGCTGCATGGCGCTTGTACACGCAGTTATGGAGGCGCCGAGCAACAAGCCGCAGTGCACTGTATTGTTAATATTATTGTTGTGCCTTCAACTACAGGGATCTCTGTCTGGAGGTGCGTATCTCTATAAATCTGTAGTTACAACAGAATAACGCCATTTGTTTTGTTTTCTTACGGCGTTGCAGTTGTATAGGCCTATGTTGTGTGCGTATTCGCGTTGGAGCGCATCTTGCAAGACTAGATTCTGGGTAGTGGAAAGGGCATTTCAGGATTTCGTAACACAAATCAGAGACATTACAAAACAGGCAAGGTCACAGTGCTGATGTTTCTGCCTCGTTAAGAATAGAATAGCATAATCAATAGCCAATAGCATAGTGTTTGTTTACTGATAGTGAAAGCGTATAGTCTCTGCACGTGATACAAGTGGGAGAAAACAAAAAAAAATCAAGAGTTTTAATTCTTAAATAGGAACATCTGTCCAGAATTGATACCAGCTGCAGCGTCATTAACAGTGCATTAATACAAATAAGTTACATGTTTCTCCATTATATAATTGTTTTTTTTCTTTAGACTGCCCTGCTGATGGAAGGACTTGGGTTCCTTTCAATGACCAATGTTATCATTTTGTGCACGGAGAGGAAGATGCCATCAAAAGCTACACTTTAGAAAGAGCAACGACTCTTTGCAAGGGATTTGGTTGGTAGTGCACAGATTCTACATCTCTAACTGGACATATTTATTTATTTTTGTTGTCTTTGATATAGATCTTTTGACAATCCAGAGCGCAGAGGAGAACAATTTTGTTATTAATTATAGCCCAGAGGTGTGGAAAGGCAACGTCAACGTGTGGCTGGGAATGTATTATGACACAAACAGTTAAGTACTGCACATCTGTGAACACAACACAGCACACGCTAAAAATACTGCACTTATTATGCAAATCATAAAGTATGTGACTGACTAGATCTATAATGATAGGTATGTTATGTATTCATCATAAAAAATACATGTTTACAGGATGTGTGGACATTATAACGACCAATGCAATCGCTTGAAATGACTAAGTAAATCCTTGTGAATGAATAGTGAATATTGTGCATTATGTAGGCCATGTTGTGTACCAGCCACAGTTAATCATCTGACAAAACCTAAATGCTGATTTATTCAGTGTGGTTTGTGGCTGTTCATTGGTATGACCTCGCATATCTCAAACCCAAGCTCAAAGGTACACTACAGCGTTACTTTTCCAGTAGACCTGCTCGTCTCCATGGATTTTATTAGAACAGTATGCTGCATTACAGTCTTGCCGGTGTTGTAATTGTAAACAAAATTTGAAACACAAATCTTATCTTTGCTGGCTATACTTAACCTATAAGCTGCTGATGTAGTAAGTTGTATGTATGTTTATTTTTGGGGTACAAATATAGAGCATTTTGAGGTGTTCCAAGTCACATTGGATTGTTTTGTTTTTGTAGGTGAAGACATGAGGTGGCTGGGCCGTGACCCTGTGCAGTACACAAACTGGGAATTCAGCTCGTCCCCCTCAGACCTCGTGCCCGTGGACACGTGCGTGGCCCTGCACACTGTGTCCGGGAGGTGGGAGAACATCAGCTGTCAGGATGAAGTGGAGAATGGAGTGGTGTGTGAAACTGCTCAAGGTGAGAAGAGTTTATTCATGCTCCCAACACAACTCTCTCAGCTTAAAAGAAGACAGCATGTAGCCTATTATCAAATCCGGAGTTATGACCCAAAATCTATCAAGACTTGATCATAACAATAGTTCATCTGTTTTGTTTTGCACTATTGTGCTCTCCATAAACCCCAATACTGTGTTTTATTTATTTATATGGATATCACTTGTTTTATTTAGTTATCATTGTCTTACATATTTGTATCTTTTAAAGCCTTCTCCTCCACTTAAAACCCTTATTTTCTGACTAGGTGCATGAATCATAATACATAACAAGCTTTGTTGTTTGTGCAAGTATATATTTGCCAAAGCCATGATTACTACCCGCTAAAACCTATAACCTTGTATTTGTAAACAATTATCCAAGGTTATTTGAATCTTTTTAAGTCCTTAATTATAGACACACGGACGACATCACAAATGTTATTTTCTCTTTATCTGTGTTTGTTAGTCAAATCAAGAACTATATGCATGGTGACTTTGTGCAAGGCAATAAACCAGATTTTAATGTAATTTTAACATTTAACATCTAATCCCCCTTTGCACAAGAAGTACCAGTTTTTAACATACTTTTTCTGGATCTGAATATTAGATCAATTCTCAAATAAAAGTTCTTTATTTCAAAAGCAATTCTATGTGTGGTGTATATATTCACCACATTCAAACAGCGGTAGAGCTCAGATACCACCGGTAGTTTATGTAATACTAATCATTTGTAACCGTGGGAATCATAATCTGGTGAAATTGTCAAGACCATTTTAAACCTCATCAATGAATGACTTTTCTTCAGGTTAATTGTGAAAAATATCAAAAGTCAAACAACCCTAGAACATTACTATAAATGTAAAGCTGAATGCATGTTGCTCTAGTCTCACAATGTCTTTCATTTTCATATTTCAGAAACTGTGAACTCCACACGCAGTAAGTCGCCCTCAGAGACACTTTTACAGCTTTGTGCTCGACTGTTTACACGACTGACCATCCTTGCTTTGCCCTCATCAGAGCCCAACGCCGTCCTGTCTGCCCTGGTCATTCTGAGCGTGGTTGCCATCATGGGAATCTCTGCGGTCATCTGGTTCCTGCAACAGAAGCACCAAATCGGCTCAAGCATCCTCTCTGCGTTTGAGTACCACCCGCCCTTTCGAGTCTTGGACAACGACCAGACCTGCCTGGTGGAGACTGAGGAGGCCGATAGTATGCCATAGATTAGAACAAAAAATAAGATGGAGAGTCATCAGTGAATTTTAATGTAATGTTTAGTGAAATGGATTGTTCAGTGTTAGGTGAGATGGTGTCCACTCACTGTTACATCTAGACCCATGTGCTCATGCATGCTAGTAATAGTGGTCAGTATTTCAGAATCTATGCCAATCCGAACCAAGCAAGTAGATTATTTAGTGGTGTCAGGATAATTCCCACTTTGATACAGGCTCCAACTTTGAGAACATGATGGGTATTTTGTGACAGGTCTGCTGACCATTCATCCTTTGTTTCTCTTCCGCTTTCCTTGATGTTGGCGACACATGAGCTAATCCTGTATTCAACCTTTTTGTCTTTTAGGGCAAATTAGAGTAAAACACTAAAAAAGAAAAGTTTAACAAATTTTTAAAACTACATTGTTTTGAAGATATCAAGTTGATAGTAAATTATGCAGATGGTTAGACACATGTCGGATTCCAGTAACTAATACATGTTGGCTAAACATTGTATACAAAATACAAGTTCTTCTCATATCATACCGACGATTTAGTCATTTCAGAAAATAAATGTGTGGTTTTAGCTCTGTGCATACTTTGGTCCAAACGTTTTTTTAAGTGAGAAGAGTCCCCACAGTCAATCTAGTGAGTAAAACTATGAGCTTTACCTACAATTAATATAATACATCTTAAACAGAATGATAAAGGTTTATTTGGAATATATAACCATGTCATAGTAACATACAGTAACTATGCCATATTTATTTTTACCCTTTGCTTTGATTTTTTTTGTAAGGTGTAAAAAGTGGACTCTGCTCTGTTTGAAAATACTGTATCATCCCTTAGAATGTGTTTCTGCAAACGTCTCACCACTAATACAGCATATTTTCATGATATGAACATAAATGTACAGTAAACATTTTTGTGGGATCAAAGACAGTACTACAGAATCTGTCGTCAGCAGTGCTGATATTCACTAGAGCAGCACATTTATAATGGTGTCACAGAAAAAGGAACAGGAACAATGGTTCAACTATTGTGCAAATTTTAACTACACACAAACACAATCAAAAGCTCACTATAGTAATGAACAAATAATGTCCTCTGAAATTACCATTTGCATTTTTGTAAGTAAACAGATGTTACTTGAGACAAATCGATATTTTGCTATTTATATGTATTCAAAATGATGCAAGTTGCCTTATCAATGTTTTGCACAATGTTTTTTACATGTGATGGCCAGCAGCATGATTGCTTCTGTGAACAATTTGGCAGTTTCTGAGCCCTAGTGCGTTTTGCATAATAAAGCTTGTTTAATAATGTTTACTAGTAGTTGTTTGTGAATCTCAATTTTGTATACATATGGATTCTCACATGAATTTGTAAATTTCTAAGTAGATATTGCATATTCAAAAGCACTGTAAGCATTTCACAGGAAGTAAAATAATGATTATCCAAACCAATGTTTAAGGTGGGACAATTGCTACAATGGGTGAGAAGTATTCTATTTCTTTTGGACAAGCATTAGTGGAAAAGAAGCAAAAATATGATCAATTTCACTCAATTAATCAAAAATCTACTGTTGTCTAGGGGAAGAACTCAGTGAGGTTAACTGAGGCAAATGAACAAACAGCAGAGGGCACTGACCTGCAATACACAAGATGACTGCAGTGGATTGTTTTCCGGTCCAACCTAGAAGCATAAAACATGTTAAAGAAAGTATACTTGTTTTGTAGAACGAATTTTGAGATCGTATTTACCAGAAAGTAATTATAATTTTTTTTGGAGAAAATACATTCTAATTTGTTATCAAATGTCTTGTATTTTCCTTTAAAAAGAAGTACGACATGAAAAGTACTTTATATCTTATTGACATAACATCAAGGACTAGACGAGATCAAATATCGGAAGATAATTGCGCACAGGATAGCCAACTGTGTTAAGTTTGATTTTACAACCACATGCTCCACTCTTCTCTGAGGATATACAAATAGCATAAAAAGACTTATTTCTTATTATGCTAAAGTATGCCTCAGAGATTTTATACCTAATTCTTGCTTCTTCATTTTGCTAAAGTTGGAGCTTTTATACTTGTTTCCATATTATGTTTAAGATAGATATTTAATACTTTATCATGATAAAGTTAGAAATTGTATTTTATTTTATTTTAGAATAGAGTTATTGTTCATTTATCTTGTATTGTGGGCTCCTTATTCCTACTGTTCTGTAACCGGTGATGCAACACTGAAATTTCCCCACTGTTGAAAGAATAATCTTAATCTTAATATAAAAAGGATCTTCCTGTACATTATGTTCAATTAGACGTATTCTTGTATAGCCCTAAATCACAACAGTAGTTATCACTGAGGACTTAACAAAACCGTTGAACACAGATCAGAGAATCAAACCGTTTCAAACACAAAAAGTATAGAAAACACAGGTATTGACCGATGTCCATGAATGTTGATAAATGTCCATAAATGTTGTAGAGTGTCCTGGATCATCACCACAGTCCTTTTTGTTAGACCCTCTAACAGACCCTCCTACATCGACGAGGGAAAACTCTAAAACCCAATCAATATGTATGAGGGACGGAAGGACAGACTTTTTAAATTTGGATGCACTGTAGCTCATTTAAAATACACTGGGATGGATGTGGCTATGAAGTGCAAGTGTGGGCAAGACATCATGGCCACACTACCTCTTATGAATCTAAGTGAGATCATTATTAGTGGTGGTCAGATGCTCCGGGGGCACGATCAGCCTTTCTGCCCCAGGACAACTGTGGAAATGCTAATAATGGCCCGCTGCAATGATGTTTGTAGTGGATTAATAATAGGAAATTGTAAATCGTCTTTGTGACTACCTGATAACCCTTACCTGAAACTTTCACTTTTTACTTTTTCTTGCAATGTGAGAGATCGTCTCAAGAGTTCCCAGTAAGAAGCCTTTTTATAGAAGGAAGACCACACTAATCAGCCTATACTGATATTCTGAAAGCAATAGAGGACAGATGTTTGTTACAATTTATTTTGTAGTCTTGTGTTTACAAAAAGCCAGTCAGTAAGGAAGAGCGTAATAAAACTCACACTTTTTTTTAATGAAAGTAAGGTTGTTTTGAAATAGTTAATTGATTATGTGGTGTGAAGAATCCACTTTGCAAGATGTTCTAGTCATTATCTTTCCTACATTGTAAATCTAATGATATATTGGCTTGCTGTTTGTTTGTTGCTGTTGTTGTTTGTTGGAAGAAATCACGTTTATTTTCAGTCAAATATCTTTCAAGAAAATAAAGTATGATTCTTTATTCGACGACGTTTGAAAAATCAACTCCTCTCTGGTGTTTATGTTTTTTCCCCCAGCAGTGAATAATCAGTTACTTTATTTACCTCATGCTCATTTGAAGCATGCTCATTTGAAGTATGCATTTTTGAAGTGTGCATTTTTGTTTTGACGTCACCTCAGTGGTGTCCTTCTTGTCGGATGGGGATGGGAGCCTTTTCTCATTACCGTCGATGGCCAGACTCCGGAGAAGACGCACACCAACAAGACATTCATCCAAGACAACTCGCGCAGATCAGCCAGGTTTATCTGCCACCACAAGACATTCAAATTATTCACAATATTCTGTACTAAAGTAAGTGACAATACTGTTTTAGTCTTTTCAACGTGTTTGGTTTGCATGGATTTTGGCTAGCTGTTAGCGCGATTTAAATCTTGACGCACGCGATAAACGGCGTGGCCAACGAGATTTTACGCACGGGAGGCTTGCGTATTTTTATGTATATTTGTTAAAAGTGAAATTTGAAGATAAAAGCTTAGTTTTTTCACGTTTTTTTTTTTTATCAACTTATAACGTTAGGAGGAGAAACATTTAGAAGTCTGCTGTTTGATTTGTGCACTTTTGGTGGTTGTCAAAGTTTGGTTGTCATGACATTTCCTCGGTATCTGCAGGTGCAAATTGATTAAAAGAATGTGAAAGTGAATTTTTTGTCAAACTGCTAATTTTAAATATTGCCATGTATTTTTTCAAACTAATTTACCTTGGTGTTGTGAATGGTTTTGAAGAAAAAACGTTAAAGTAACTTCTGGATTTTGTCGAATGTGCTGCTGCTGAATGTGCAATTCTACTTTAGAGGAGCACTGTGGCCAAAATAGATAAATACATTATTAGTCGTAGTAGCATTTGTATTATTATTATTATTATTATTAAGATGTATACTATATATATATTTGTGTGTGTGTAATTTAGGATAAATTAGATCCCATTCTCATTCCTCTTGATATGTTATGCATGCAAGAAAGAACCAATGAATCAAAACACAGGTAGAAGGTCACTATAATGTGGCTCATTTTTATTCACATCACATGTCCTTGAGAGCGGTGAGCAGTGTGTATAAAGCTTTTAATGATGTGAGCTTCAAGAAATCAAAGAATGAGGGGGCTATTTTTGCATACAATGATTTGTGTGATGTGTCCATGCATTTTCCAAAATCAGTGGCAGGCTTTGCATGGCTTTAAAATGTCATCAATTGACTCATTCCCAGTGCCCAGAAAACGAATGACATTTGGGTTGAATTTCAATCACCTTGTAAATACCAGTGCCTCGTTTGCAGCACACAACAGCATTGGACTTGTGGGCAAGCAGGATGCAAGACCCTTTTGCATTGCTTCTTTTACTACACAATATTCCACAGTATGGCTTAGAAGAGTAACCTATTTATATACTAGCAGATGACACATTGGTTTAGCATGACCTGTTTTTAGGATATAGTACAGTAGTTAGCATTCTGATTTCTATTACAATGTTTCATTATTTCTGACAATTACATTGCGTGTACGGGAGCCATCTCTACAAGCAAATAATAATGATAATATTGTAATTCAAATACTTATGTGTACTTATGTATTTCCAGTTGAATCAGTCATATTTTAGTGAAGGCTTTCTGAATATTTGGTTTATCTGTAATTGAAATATCCAATTTTATGACAGATTAGTATCTTTCACAGAGACTAGTCTTATTTATTCTAAATAAAACGCCTTCTGTTCATTTCACTACATTTAAAGTTTGGTGTTTTCCTAAGAAAGATTTTCTGCACCTTTTTTACAGGTCTGGCTCATTAATCAAAGATGTCGGACGCCTGCTGAGGGCTGAGCAGGTTCATCAATTTGGCAGCCTGTGCACGGTAAGCAACAGTGTGGAAGCTCTTAAATAAATGTCTGGGCTTCATATGCAAGAGCTGAAGGTTAATGCTGTATAATTCACCAGTGCCCTCTTTGTGCGTCGTGATTGATGTTTGGAAACATGTGAGGCCTGATAGGGAAGTCTGTTTGTAGGTCAGTGGTGACACTCGGGAATCCAGTGCACCTTGACTTAGGTTGTTGTTAATGTCAAAGATCTTTATTTTCTTACAGTATTTGTTTGGTGGTTAAGGGGTTTACTGGATTTGTAGCAGATGTGGATCTTTTTTTGCAATTAATCAGGGGGGTCTTGGTACTTAAGACTTAGGAACATCTGGTATAGCACAATTCATACTCAAGGCAACTCCAAGTGCTTTAAAAACAAGAAAGGAATCATTTTAAATCATACAACAAGTAAAACCCATAAATAATCACCTTACAAGGAGAGTGCAGTTGAAATCTTTCAGTTGTATCGTGTTTAATTAATATATTCAGGGTATGAGAGGACAGTCTGTAAAGTGACCCCTGTCTCACATCTTAGAATTTCTGCATAACAAATGTTGTTGTCCATTTTAAAACTTGCAATAACTTAATCATAATCTGTTATTGTTTTGTCATTATCAAACTACTACTTGATCCCCAAAATCTACAATATTGTTATAATACTGTATTTTGCTAAGGAAACAGACTGTCCTAATTTGAATGCATTATATTAGGATCGGGATTAGAGTTTTCCCAATTAAATTGTGATTTGAGTCCTCCTTTTATAAAAATGAGTTTGTACGTTACACTTTGCTCTCAATTTGTGTACATCTAATTAGTTTTGGTGACTCTGGGAATTAGTGTCAAGCCATCAGAATTAGTGAAATCTCTTGGGAGAAGAGCAAAGTTTTTTGACCACAGGGTATTTTAGTAGAAAATGGGTGTCAGTAATTGGGTATAGGCTGCAGAGTGCTTTTACTTTTGGATTCAAGATCTATCTTATATTAACTAACATGTTTGTTTGCCTTGTAAAGATTGTAGCTTAAAACAAATGTATGACAAAACAAAAGACTAGCTTTAAAATTACTTGATAATACTTCCTGTTTAATTCTTGATATGAGAATTTAATCCGATGTTAAATTGAATGTGTGTTATAAAGCTGCAGTATCGCCCGCTTCATGTTTTTGCTGAGGCCATAATGTCCAACTAAACTGGCACCATTAAGTCCAAGGAAATGAAGTGGCAAAACCTTTGTCAAAAAGGGGATTGTATCTAAAGTGCAGGTGTCACATAATATAGTAAATTAACTTTAAAATGTTGTATTCTTTTTTAATCAGTGCACAGTATATTTCATTATTTATTCCATCAGCTCCTCAGTTCCTATATATTTATAATTTATCATTATTCCTTTTACATTGGAAACAAGTGAGTGACTCCGATAAGTGTTATCTGTGTAGAAGCAGGCATTCTTTGTGGGGAATGCACATGTTTAAACCAAACTGAGTAACAAGAAAAGCAATAGTCTGCTATCTTGCATTCAATATGTATTCAGAGTGGACAGAAAATAACAGTTTAACCTTGAACCTGTCCTTGCAACTTATTTTGGGATATTCAAAATGTACACATAGGTTGCTTGTGGAGGACATATGGAGCTGGTGTGACAAACGCACTGAGGGGACTCTGGATTAGTGGTTCATTTGGCTCAGCACAGCACCTCCTGTCTCTGTGCCTGCTTTCTGATTTATGCTGTGTACTTCAGAGAGGGACAACATGTTTACCTTGATCCAAGCTGTCTTTATTTTATGTCAGAAAAGTTGCCGTAAAAAGGATCCTTAGTGACTTCAAGTTGTATCCGTAATTAACGGAGAAAACAATAATATTATGTGCACAATGTAATCTTGAAAATTATTTTATCATTGAATTGAACATTTTTAATGACTGATTCAAGGAAGAAAGTACAAAGTATCAATCAATCCTGTGATTCTGTTGTGTAGCCAGGGTAACCGTGCAGCAGGGTTTTCTTCCTCACAGCAGGTCCAATTGCTGGTGCCATTTGAGGGAAGTTTAATACGTTTCTTTTCTCTACTCATCTTCGGGTTTCCTTTTTCAGTGCCATGACGTCGCAAAATACAAGGTTTTTTGGGTAATATTTGACAAAAATAGTATTGAAGATTGGTGATACTCATTATGATGAGTACACCGTGTAGCAGCAGTGATGGATGTTGTTGCCTCTTGCCTCATTAGAGCCGTGACTGTGTTGATAAGCTCATATTTTTCATTTTGAGGATGTTTGTATGCACAGATGACAGGCTCTGCTCTGTGTGATGGATCATCTGTAGGAATATTAACATGGTTCGATCTTAGTTGTTTGTTTTCTTTAAATTTGTAGTATGGACCAATGCTTAAGTGAAACAATAGTACGGCTTGCTCATAGTTGTTACAAAACAACAAATTGGCAACAGTTTTATTCTAAGGAATATCCTCATACTCACTATATTGCAACATCATAATCAGTGGCCACAGATGCAAAAGATGAGCTATAATCACACCCTCTAAAACGGAAAGAAAATGTCTTGACATCCAAGTTTCTCCTCTCCTTCTTTTCTTTAAATGTTTGCGTTTATATCAAATAATACATTCTCAGCTTTCACTGTGCTATACAATGATTGCAAGTATTTTTTGCAATTTCTTTATTCCAAATGAAATGAAAAATAACAATGTTTTCACATTGTATTGTAACAATATGAGGATAGAATAATTACCCACCCCTGCCATAAATTGTCACTACCTCTGAACTGTATGGGGGGGAAAAACATGCATACAAGAATTTGCAACGCGTTGTAAAAAGAATGAATGAAAATGAAGCTTACTCACTTTATAATCTTTAAACCGGTGACCAGTGACCACCAGCATTATTGCTAAAACCCGGCACATGACATTTTCCTTTCGTAAGACTACTGTTTGTTGTGTGTTGTCCCTAATCAAATACATTAGTTCAAATTAAATACAATGCATATTTTTTTAAATGACTGGTCCATCTTTATTCAGGTAATTTGTCCATCATTAAAAAAATTATAATAATTATTCATCTTTCTACTATTCTAAAAAAAAGTACTGACTTATGATGTCCTCCATTAAGTATCCATAAAGCTATAACAGTCAACCCAATATCGTCTGTGCATGATTAAAAATGATGATTTAGTGCATGATTTATACCACCCCCTTCTGTTGTTATCCTACCCCTCTCACGGTGCACACAGCAGCGGCCTTTTCAGTGAAGCATGGCCACAGCGACATGTCATTTACATCTAATCAGTTTTGCGCTCGCTTAAGGATGATACTTGATATTCAGAGGATAGCTGTGTTTGCTCAAATTAATCAACAAACCACTCCTACCTTCAATCAGCAAAGGACAATGCAGGGAACGGAGCAAACAAAAACTTCCACATAAATTGTAATGTGTATTTGTTATGCTGAATAGTGATACGTTTTATTGATGATTTGCATATTGTGTATGATATTGTTTTGAACAGAAATGGACACGTCACAGCAACTGACTCTTCTGCCTTCATTTGCATCGCCATCTGCCTCCAAGTGCAGCCCAGCGGTTGGCTCCTTATTCAGCCCTCTCAACTCTTATGGTACTACACGCTCAATGTACAGTATTAATAACGCTGTTGGATCTGGTCAGTTTAGATGCACCTGTAGTAATGCTTTATTTATTTTGCTAGATTTAAGCCAAACCAATTTATATTGCTCTGTTTGTCAGGTAGAAAGGACTTTTTTAATAATAATGCCTAATTCTTCCGTTCAGTTTTGAAGTTCTCATACGTTTGAAACATCTAGAGTAGATTATCAGTCTTTACAAACATAGGTATAATAAATGGGCGTGTTTTATTGCTGAAAACTGTTAGCTCTAACCGTATTACTGTGTACGTAATGTTACCGGGTTTTTTGTTTTTTTTTTGTCAAAGAATGGGGGACGCTGATGAGAGCAAGGGTTGGGGGATGGTAGTAATGGGCTTCAGGTATTCCATCAGTCAGTAACAAATGTAAATGAATTCACCATTTCTGCTGACCTTTAATTAGATTTGAATATATTGCTAGCTCTTTTACATTTCACCTTTTTATGAGGTTGCACAGCTTTTTGTTTTTTTGTGTGGTTGCCTGTAGCATTTTTGATCATTTGATACACATGGTGAATTTTTGTAGTCCTCGGGTTCATATTCAATAGATTCATGGTTGAGTCATTATTTTTTCAGATAAACATTTGAAGGCAAAATGGATTGATTTCCCCAGGAACCAACGTTTGTTGACAGAGCTGTGATTTCTGCCTTTTAAACATCATTAAACCCTTGTAATCGCCACAAAACAATATGTTTTGTGGGGATTACACAAAGTCTCATATCCTGTTGTAGACTAATCAGAGCGCCGCTTTGGAAATATGTCTATAAACACGTTGGAGCTATTTCCTTGCCTGGCCTGCCAGACACTCCTCCTTTCTGTTCAAAAGAAGAACCGTCTGGACACCTCTTCCTAGCCTATCATTTCACGATTTTACCCACATCGGTCCAATCACGCACCGAGAGGCGGGACTTCCTTTCACCTTTGAGTTGCTAATAACTCCTCGTATCTTTAAGTTTTTGTTACAAAATTGACAGCAGTCGTTTACATTTGCACTAGCTGACATGCCGCCATCCCTTGTTTTGTGTTTACTGAAACGGCTTGGGTGCCGCTAGTTGCTGCGTCATATCCTGTGTGCATCTAATTGGTTGATGCAGTCTGTCAACCACGCCCACCGGGAATTCGCTGAGATCAAGCTCGTTCCCAGACTATATGTCTTTGAAAAAGCATATCGTTTGGCAGGCCAGGCAAGCTATTTCCAGTATAGGGGCCCTCTGTGCTTGGCAACTTAATCTTTTACTTGAGATCTCAACTTTTCTCTTGTGAGAGAAAAGGGCACTGGGCAATGGTGCTGCTGTCAATTTCAAGGAGAGCAGCATCTTGGTGCGATGGTGAAACAGCCCAACATCAGCCACACTCACCACACACTGCACCACACTTTTCTAGAGCTGCTCAGACACCATTTGTTTTGATCTCAAAGCAGCAGTTACCTGTGTGCTAACCAGAAAGCTGCTGTCGGGCACTGTCCTCTGTTCGAAAGCTCTTTTAAATCGACCTTACTAGGCTGAAGCAAAGACTGATAACTGCGAAAGTTCCAGTACAATTTGAATGATATAATTAAATATTCATCAATTTGAGTCACTATTTAATCTACTCAAATAATACTTGTTTTCTACAATGTGCAGATAATCTGTGGTCTTATTACTCAACTGGGTTGATTCTGACAAGTCCTCCATCCTCAGAATGAACTCTGACGGCCACAAATGCTGCTAAAAAGTTAAATAAAGCATAAAAACAATGAATGCTCTTGTGGACGTCATTGACAAGCTGTTCTTTTATTATATTTTGTGAAGTGACAGATCTGACAGCCCCACACTGTGGGCACATCCTACTGTTATAACTGAATTCTAATTACGAACGGAGCCATTATGCAGAAAGCTTCAATGATGCATGTGCATTCAGATCAGCCATCACCACAAATCGTCTCTGTTTAACATACTCCCTGAGTTTATTGTTTCATGTTACAGAGTAAACTACGAGTTTACATGATTTTTGTGTTATTTTCCCTCCCTTCTTAGGTAGAAAGGTAGTGCTTGGCTTCCACACCTTTAGTTTGGTAAATGGTAAGTTTGGTGTTCTGGAAAGTCTTCAGTGCATTCTCATCTGCATTGCTTCTGCATGTGGCAAGTGTGGATCTGTAATCTGTCATTTAATTGGGTGGAAGTTTGTGATGGCATGACTTTGACGCTTGGTAAGCCTGAGAGGAGACACAGATGGGTTTCAGTCCCAATGTCTCTCTGGGGAGCTTTAACTCTGCTAAAGACATTACACTGTACAGTTTATGCTGTGAATGTTACGGCAGAGCTTCTATATTGGCATTCTACTTTCATAGTTTGGTTGACAATGTACAATTGGAGCTGACATAATGTTTTTTACCCTTTTTATCTAGAATATGGCTTCAGTGAAATTTGACAATTTTAGTATTTGCAACTATGCTTCAGTAAGCAAGTCAGCCAAGCAAGTCAAGACATAATTGTCTTTGCTTTACTCTTTCATAGATTTGAATGGAGCTGTTAATAGTTGTCTTCATCTTAATGGGGGGGCTATGGCGAGTCCAGAGCTTGAGCCGTTTGCAACAGAAGAAAATGACAAGAAAGAAATGGTAAGGGGCATATTTTCAATACTACATTAATAATTTTGTGTTCTTTTTTACTTTTACTATATTCCTGTTGGCATCCACAGAACATCCCTCAGTCTGTGAGTGGTAGCCAGAGTGGATCTTTGTCAGAAAGTTTGGACGACAATGACTGCAGTAGTGATCCCGACCCCCAGGAAGAGGAAGACTTCAGTGATACAAGTGACACCACTGACTCAGAGAAGGACTATGGACTGACAAGAAAGCATGTGGTAAGGGGTCTTGCAAGATTTTATCAGGGAGATTTTATTTTGTATACAGTGACACAGTATTCGCCCCCCTTGATTTTAATTTTTTGTCATGAATCAACAACAAGTGGGAAGTGGAACGAAATTTATTGGATAATGTAAACGTTTTTAACAAATAAAAAAACTCAAAAGTGGGGCGTGCAATATTATTCAGCCCCTTTACTTTCAGTGCCGCAAACTCACTCCAGAAGTTCAGTGAGGATCTTTGAATGATCAAATGTTGTCCTAAATGACTGATGATGATAAATAGAATGCAACTGTGTGTAATCAAGTCTCCGTATAAATGCACCTGCTCTTTGATAGTCTCAGGGTTCTGTTTAAAGCGCAGAGAGAACCATGAAGACAAAGGAACACACCAGGCAGGTCCGAGATACTGTTGTGTCTGTTTAAAGCCGGATTTGGATACAAAAAGATTTCCCAAGCTTTAAACATCTCAAGGAGCACTGTGCAAGCAATTATATTGAAATGGAAGATGTATCAGACCACTGCAAATCTACCAAGACCTGGCCGTCCCTCCAAACGTTCATCTCCAAACAAGGAGAAGACTGATCAGAGATGCTGCCAAGAGGCCCATGATCACTCTGGATGAACTGCAGATAACTACAGCTGAGGTGGGAGAGTCTGTCCATAGGACAACAATCAGTCGTGCACTGCACAAATCTGGCCTTTATGGAAGAGTGGCAAGACACACCAAACATGTGGAAGAAGGTGCTCTGGTCAGATGAAGCCAAAATCTAACTTTTTGGCCACAATGCAAAACGATATGTTTGGCGTAAAAGCAACATAGCTCATCACCCTGAACACACCATCCCCACTGTCAAACATGGTGGTGGCAGCATCATGGTTTGGGCCTGCTTTTCTTCAGCAGGGACAGGGAGGATGGCTAAAATTGATGGGAAGATGGATGGAGCCAAATACAGGACCATTCTGGAAGAAAACCTGTTGGAGTCTGCAAAAGACCCGAGACTGGGACGGAGCTTTATCTTCCAACAGGACAATGATCCAAAACATAAAGCCAAATCTACAATGGAATGGTTCACAAATAGACGTATCCAGGTGTTAGAATGGCCAAGTCAAAGTCCAGACCTGAATCCAATCGAGAATCTGTGGAAAGAGCTGAAGACTGCTTTTCACACGCTCCATCCAACCTCACTGAGCTCGAGCTGTATTGCAAGGAAGAATGGGCAAGAATTCCAGTCTCTCGATGTGCAAAACTGATAGAGACATACCCCAAGCGACTTGCAGCTGTAATTGCCGCAAAAGGTGGCGCTACAAAGTATTAGCGCAAGGGGGCCGAATAATATTGCACGCCCCTCTTTTCAGTTTTTTATTTGTTAAAGTTTAAATTATCCAATACATTTCGTTCCACTTCATGATTGTGTCCCACTTGTTGTTGATTCTTGACAAAAAAATATATTTTTATATCTTTATGTTTGAAGCCTGAAATGTGGCGAAAAGTTGAAAGGTTCAAGGGGCCGAATACTTTCGCAAGGCACTGTACATAGTGAGGTTACTGAGGTACATAAGTTAGTAAGAGGCAATATACAGTAGTTATTAAATGTTAGCAAGTATCCGCTCACTGCTTTTATAAACAATGTAAAAAATACCTCTTTTTAAGGTGTTCTCTCGGGCATTGATTTCCTTTATGGTTTTTATGTTAAAGTGATTGTCTGGAGTTTGTCAGAAAGAGAGACAGAGAGGTACTTGATTTGAAAAAAACGACGCAAGCTCCCTCCCCCTTCCTTTCTGATTGGTCTACACCTATGTTTCCGTAACACTTTGAAATGTTAATCAGAGAACATATTATACATTATAATTATATATTTTATACATTATACATTATTAATACACATGCACGGAGGTTTTCAGAATTATTTGTGAACGTTTTAATGAAAAAAAATATGTTTTTATGCACACAAAAAAGCGATCGCGGCAAACCAGGAAGTGCTATTATCATGAATTGCACATTATAGGACACATCTGCAGAGGATCTGATTATGGATATCGGTTCAGTATATACATAAGTACCTCAGCGCGGATGTTCAGAATTCTTTGTTCAGTTTTCATGTAGTTCCAGAGCCTAATAGAAATAGGCTCCGCGAAAACAAACAACTGCGCATGCGCGCAGCTGCGAGCATCAGCGCCGATGATTGACATCCCTTGGCATGACTCGATTGATTAACCTCGACGGCACCGTGGATTCTGAACTATAGCTAAGAGAAGGGAAGGCGGGACTTGCCCGTAATATTAGAATTAATAAAATGACTTATTTTATATCAACATTTAAGGCCAGGAGGTCAATTTAACACATTTCCTAAATTTTGTAATTCATTTAGAGTTACAGACTATCACTTTAATACTCAATTTATTATATAAAGATACATTGCTTCACGGTTGTAAAGTTTCTTGTATGAAGTACAACTGTTCTCACAGTGGCACTGACATGACATGCCATCTCCGTCTCCCTCCTCCCACTCAGCGGCTGACACATGGCACTTGTGACAGTCCAAAGAAGAACCATGGAAGTACAGCTAGAGACGAGGACGCCGCCACAAGGCAGCAGAATCGGCTCTGTGTCCCAAAGATATCAGCTCAACCTCCCAGCCCTCTCCCATTCCAGACCTCAAAGAAGAAGTACTTGAGAAAACCCACAATCAAAAGACATATGAAAGAGCAAAGGGCTTCCCTGAATCCCAAACTGTCCTCTTCTACAAATTCTTTATACTTGTCCTCATCAAATTCTCCCTACTCCAAGTCACCAACCCAAAAGTCAACCCACAATGAGAGAAGTTGTTTCTCTTCTCCTGTAGTTACTGATCCAGCCGTGATGTCAAGAGGGCTTATTGCAGACACCAATGTGCTTAAATGGGTAAATATCGTGTACTACTGCTAAATGCGTAATTTAATCCAGGGACTGTGTGTGAGTGTGCTTTTTCATTTTTATTGCTCATATATAAAGATTTCAGGATTACACTATAATTCAAATTACATGACTGATCAAATTATGTCAGCAAAATTGTATTTGTATAGTAATTTTATGTGTGTATATCTAATCCTTAGTGACCATAGTGGAACTTTCTTCTTTTTATAGCTTGTTTCAATAACAGATGCCACAACCCAAGATCAAGACGCACGTGTCTACTCTTCGTCTCAATTATCTCGTCGCCCATCGCTGCACAGTCATTTTCATTCACATCCAAGCCAAAACCACACCAGTGAATTTACTCAGGATGCCCCTCTGCCCCTTGTCACTAAAGGACATCCCCAAATGGACGCACCATCAGTACCTCGCTCCCCAGATTCAAGTCCTATCGACTTAAGTCCAAATAACAAGCAGCCACCAAGTCTTTCCCCATCTAAATTATTGACCTACGTCTCAGTAAAACAGACATGCAGTCCACCTCGTATATATGGACAAAATAAAGCAGATAAAGGTCACATGGAAAACTCCGATGAATCCTTGGCAGATGATACTGAAGAGACAAGCATCAGCACCTCAGGTTATTTTTTTAATTTTTTATTTTGTTGCTGTACAGGTGAAATATTACAATATTGTTCAAAAGTCCATTTACTTCTGTAATCCATTACAATGTGAAACTTTTATATGACACTCATTACATATAAAGTAATGTATACCAAGCCTTTTATTGGTTAAAATGTTGCTAATTGGCTCACAGCTGTTAAAAAACCCCTCAGAAAATAAGAATGTTTTGAAAATGGACTGAAAGCTAGGGCGGTAGGACCACATGGGCTTTTGCTTCTTCTTACTCCCTTTTGAACATGGGAATGGAATAGAAATTTGGATATGTTTTGTATGATTATATATAAAGTAAGCACACATGTTTCAAAATAAACAAATGAAATAAAATGGAGCTATCATCAAAATTATAACAAAAACATTTGTCACTTTGAATGTAATGAGTCCATATCGTATAGTGGTTACATATAAGTTTGATTATAGAAATCTATATTATTTCCAAGTTGTATTTTATGGAAATCATATGTTCTTGTCTTTGCCACAGATTCTGGCAGTAGTGAAGGAGTAAGCTCTGAATATTCGGACTCACTAAAAGGCTGTGATGGATACAGGACTCATCAAATACTTGAAAAATCCTCCAACCAACCCTCCGTCCTCAATCATTCTCTACTCAAGACCTCTTCCTGTCTGGACAGTTTCAACAGGGCCCATCACAGCACTGCTACTTCTTCAAGCGTCCTGGGGCCAGGTGTGTTGAAGTTTAATTTTGCTCATGGAGAATATTGTCAAAATTTGTGTGCAGAGAATTTATGTTAAGTATTTTAATTTATTTGAACCAGCGCAGAGAAAAAGAGTAACGGATGAGAAAGCTTTGCAAATACCTTTGGATTTTGGGTGAGAAAATGTTTATTCTTTTGGCAATTTGCTTCTTGAACTTTGTGGCTTTTGTGCTGTTTTCGGCTCATTAATCCCCTGCCAGACTCCGAGCCATTCTGTCAATAGATACTTTTACCCGTTCATATTTTTCAATTTCCGGCAGTTGATGGATGTACTAATACCAAATGAATTGTGAACAACGAGGGCTTAAATAAATTGAGTTGTCTGTTCCATACAAATATTTTTCTAGAGAGCCCACATTATATTTAATGGGCAAATATAATAGAAATAATGAATAGAATTTGTATTTTAAATTAGTTTACATATTTATCTTGGCAATGTATGAAATATGATTGTTTAGTTAGAAGAAGCTATAAGATTAAAGTAAAAATATTACGACAATAAATTAGAAGTAGTAATATTATGAGATTCATCTCAAAATATTAAATCATTCATATATAACGTTGAAAACGTGTAAGAGTAAATGAAATAGTTAATCCATTGAGAGGTTCTGCAAACTCTGGACAGGGAAGCGCTTTGTGCGTTTGTGATTACAAGTCATCTTTATTTTGACTATCACATTAATGTTAAAAGATCAGAAGACTTTTTTTCTCATAATTATACAAGAATAGTTGTATTACTAAAACGTTTTCTGGCTTCGACTTTATTTTCATAATATTTAGATTTTATTTTCATCCTTTCACAAAATGAATCTCATTTTCAACTGTAAAGGCAAAATATTCTGACTTGAATCTCATAGCGTCCGTCAAAAAAAAGGATTTTGGATATTATTGGATAATATTTCTGTCTCAGCTGGCAGAGAGTGACCCGAGCCCGGACAGTGGCGGGGCGTCTGCAGGGAGAGGTCTGTTATTATGCTCCCTGTGGAAAGAAGCTCCGACAGTATCCTGATGTACTAAAGGTACATACTCAAAGGGTGTAGGTGTACTTTACAATTTATCTTCTATGATATTTCTTTTTCTTAGTATTTGTACCGAAACGGAATAACTGAAATTTCGCGAGATAACTTCAGCTTCAGCACAAAAATCCAACTAGGGGAGTTCTACCTTGCCAAAGAAGGGCCAGAAGTAATTATATTATTATATTTGTGCATTTCATTCACCTAAATTATTCCGATTTTTAATTCACTTTTATTTCATTTTTATATAACGCAGGGCTCACAGTGGATGCCGTTGTCAGAGGACGACATCGCCGCCTGCATCATTGCCATGGATGGGAGACGTCAGAAAAAAGATCAGGGCCAAGAAATATTCACTGGAACACCACCTTTGTTTCAGTCACAAGATGCTGTCAATGCCAATCTACTGAGAAAACTGGAGGCTCAAGGTTGATACAAACAGCATTTTTTACCTTGCAAAAATGGATCTGGGGGATTATATGAGAGGTTATTATTCAAGATCAGGGGTCTAACCTACAACTCGGGAGAAATTGGTAGCTCACCACACCCTTCGAAGCACAAAATGTGCACATGCATAAGAACAACGTGAGCGAGCATTGCTGTCCACAGCCAGTGCTGATCATATGATACATCCATGGTGCTGATTAGTCAGAATGCTCACATGTTACGCTGGTCCTGCAGAAGTAGAATACTGGGCACTTTAGACTACATAAGGGCCAAGAGCCATAAGGGGCCGAGAGATAACGAGCATTCACCAATGAGCACAGGTCATTGATTTGAATGGGCATCTTGGATCGCCAGGGCTTGCTGTTAATGCATACTTCACATATGTAAAAATAGTTAGGGTTAGAACAGAGCATGAAAATAGTCATAAACAACAAAAAAACCTAAAAGTTTTCATATTTTTCAGAAATTGCTCAACAAGCCAGTCAGATGAGAATAAATAAAAAACTTGAGAAGCAAGCAAGAGTACAAGCAGAAAAGGAAGCAAAAAAGCAACAAGGTAAAACTAGTCTATTTGTCCTTTGTAAATACATTTAAATATTCTTGTACAATAGTAAATTTATAATTTGAGTGTTAACTTTTTATTACAGCAATATTGATGGCTGAAGAGAAACGCAAAAAGAAGGAACAGCTGAAGATTCTTAAGCAGCAAGTAATTACACATTTTATTATTTTCTAAAATGGTCTTAAAGCACAGGTTGTGAAGACCCTCGCTTTCACTTACACGTGACCTAGAGATCTTTTGGCCTGTCATAGATGGTTAACTTTAGTTAACTTTTTAATTGATAGCAAATTGTAGTTATTTGGGTTTCTGTCAAAATTATGATTGTTTAAAAGAAAAAAGAAAAAAGTAGGCCAAACAGTAGTTTGGATGAAGCCATCCAATCACCAGCACTTGATGTAAACTTGATGTTTCAGAATTAGATTTCACTTTCAATGTCTATGTGAGAAAATAAAATAACTGGGAAAGTGGGAATTGCAGACATTGTCTTAGAAAAAAAATGATTGAAGAAGCCGATTGGCTTTATAAAATGACCTCCACATTTGCCCTCAGAGATTTGCATAAAGACGCTGTAACTTCCTCCCAGTCTGTTCTATAACATGCATGACTGAACTCTTAATTCATTTGATCTGGCCCTCATCCTTTTACCAGGAGAAGATCAGGCGCATTCAGCAAATCCGTCTGGAAAAGGAAGTCCGTGCGCAGCAAATTCGCGAGGTTGGTTAAAAAAAAAAAGTTTTTGCTGAAACATTGTAAAACATTTTGATAGGATTAAAAGTCTGACCAAATGCTGCCAGTAGATTAGTATTGGTACATGTGAAATGTACCGAATAAACATTTAAATTGAGTTAATTTGGCTTGAGTAGAAATACTAGAATGTTCAATTATTATATATTTATGGACCAATGATAATTATCTGCTTGGCTGACACGCTTCAGATACTTCTTGACAGAATTGATTCTGATAATATTCATTTCACACCACAAGTTTTAATTGTAGGACTGTAACAAGTTAATTGATTTATGTAATTAATCAATTATTGAAATTTGTATCAACAGCTTCAGTGATTGATTTAGATATAGTGATTGGTAGACTTGATCATGATTTTGTTCAAATCAAACAACTCGATGTATAAGTCATCTCTCTTCTCCAGGGATATCACTTCAGACTTGTTTTGATAAAATGTATAAACAAATTCCATGTTAAGATCAAGACTACTACTGTAAACGATTGTGCAATACTCTAGACTGTAAACAATACTCTGCCAACTAATCCATTTTCAAAATGGTCGTAAATTACAATTTCACGATTGGTACATAATATAGGTAGGTTTTGTGTCTGTTGTTTTGGTCTGTGCTTTTTATAATTTCATCAATGTGACCCACAGGCAAAAAGAAAGAAGAAAGAAGAAGCTGCAAATGCCAAAATATTAAAAGCAGAAAGACAAAGTCAGGTGGGATTTTAGTTAACAGCCATAGATAAATTAAAAGATATAAAATTCATGTATACTCATTTTGTATTTTATTTAAAGGAAAGGGAAATGAAGAGACAACATGCACTTTTCCAGAAGCACCAGGTATAGCAATATAGAATAGCCACACTAAACACCATTATGACAACACCAGTACTGTTCAAATGGGATTGGGGATATTGTTTTATATTGTGGTTGTAAATATTTGAAACTGTTTCTACCAGGTGATGGAGTTGCATAGGCTAGATATGGTTTGGGTAGGTTAAATTCAAATATTTGTGTCTGGTCGTGAAATTCTGCTTATATTGTAACTATAAAGCTGGGGTACCTACCTTTTCTCTCCAATAATAATACATTTTGTTTGTCCCAACGAAGAGTCTTGCAAAAGTAAAATGTTGTGAACCAATCAGACCTGGACAAATCAAGACATGCCGATTACAAACCCATAGGTCTGAGAGCTGATTGGCTGAGTGAGGATGGTCCTCTGTTTTAAAAAACTGTTTTAAAGATGTTACAAAAAAATTCATGAATGCGAAAACTCATGGTTTTGAGAGCGCAGAAACTGGATTCCTTTTATTACATAGTTACATTTTGTTGTGATTTGAAACTTTAGGTACACCAGCTTCTTACTCTCAGCTGTCATGCCCTTTGTTGTCATGCCCTTTACAGTATTTCTATAGTATGTGTATGGTTGTGTCCCATTTGAGTTTAACAATCATCTTTTGACCAGTTTTAATCCATCCCATGATCCCTGCATGTTGTTTTGAATATGCCAATTCATATTTGCCCCATTTCTCTTTACATTCATGTGGATGTGTGTGCTTTTGCAGGAGCGGGAATGGAGAAGGCAGCACCATATGCTACAGAAAGAGGTCGATGCTCGGAAGAAAGCAGAGGTGTGTTGTGCCCAGCATCTTTGAATGAGTGTGAATTGAATATGTTGTTATTTATAACAGGAAAAAGAGCGGTTAAAAAACGAAAGGACCAATGAGAAACGGGTGAACAAAGAACGAAAACTGGAGCTGAGACGACTGGAACTGCAAGAGCTGAAGAAACCTAGAGAGGACCTGTGTTTAACAGATCACAAGGTTGGATGTCATTCATTTAAAATTTACAAAGGAAATACTGACTTTATTGTTTATCAATTCATTATAAATCAACAAAAGCCAATGGTCACAGAAAATGTAATCCTTGAAATGAGACTTGTGTTACTGTAGAGCCATTCTGATGTCTGTTTTAGATGAAGAAGTTTGAAATGCTGCCACCAAGTGGAAACTTTTATTTATTACACTGAACATATGAGATTATTCCCTGTGGAAGTGTTTAATTGATGTCAATTTGAAATGACAAAAAAAGGTATGCTAATGCACTTTTTGTATTTCATTAAATTGTTGTCCAGGTTGAATTTTAATACAAAACAGGGCAGAGCACTTTTGCTGACAGTAGTTCAGTTAGTGGAGCATGTTTTTTTTATCTACAGGTGGTTGCACACTGGTGTAGAACCATAGATCTAAATGATCTAAAGTCAAGTAAGAATACTTTATATTAAAATTCTTCCTTTTTCCAGCCTCTTCCAGTGCTCTCCCGTATTCCTGGCCTGGTTCTTTCTGGGAAAACGTTCTCAGACTGCCTCATGGTTCTACAGTTCAAGCACAGATTTGGGAAAGTACTGAGCCTGAAAGCACTGAGTTTGTGTGAGCTTCAGGGAGGGCTCCTGAACATGGCGGACAGCGGAGAGGCCAAAGTTCTGGAGCTGCTGGTAAACATGGTCTCTGCTGCTGTGAGGGACCCCAGTCGACCTCACACACACAAGGTTAGAGCCGTCTAGAGTTACTGTAGCGTAATTATCTAACTACTGTTCTGTAGTCATGCAAATCTGTTAAACCATACTTCAGATGAAAACTGCTTCAGGAGAACCTCTGTCAGACCTGAAGCTAGATGGTGCCAATGTATCAGAGGCTCTAAGGATCTACATGGAAAGTGATTATGAACAAGATTGTTGCATGAGCTCTCTGGCCCAGAGTCTTAAGACCAAAGACTTCCGGGCTCTTCAGCCAGAGCAGAAGGCCTCCATACTCGCCTATCTGGTGAACAAGCTCTGCCGCTGTAAAGCTGTGGTTAGGTACGACCCCATCCTCTTACATTTTATTGATGTCCTTGTTGAAAATGAAACGGGTAACATTTAAAGGAGACGTATTCTGCTTCATAGAGGTTGCAGTGTAATCTATGACATCCATAGACAATAGTATATTTCAATTGATGTACAATGTTTATGTTTTAACAGTGAAATTGACAAAACTATAGATCACATGGCCAATTTGAGGAAAGAGAAGTGGATCACTGAGGGAGTGCTTCGCAAGTAAGTGTTTTTATTTTTAGTAAATTTTTCTTTCTTTTGTTTTAGGACAATAAATTAATGATTTGATTATTGATCGTGTTAAACGGTTTGTTTTTCTGCTATTTCTTTTCAGACTGAGAAGCACTCATGCCAAGAGGACCGGCATGAAAACAGCAGAGGGCTCTCTGTGCCCTGCTCCTACGAACAAAAGAAAAAGAAAGGAAGGGTACTGCGAGGAAGAGGAAGATGAAGACGAGAGTGATGAAGAAGAAGAAACTGAAGAGGAGGAGGGCAGGAAATCAGACTGTACAGCGGTAGTTCTGCTCCAGACCTCTTCTCCTGCATTTTCTGTTCGTTCAATCACTTATTTTGTTATTTTGCAAGCAGGAAGATAATAATAATGCTGCCAGTGTGGAAGAGTTGGAAACACAAATCAAAAAAGCAGCAAAGGTTAATGAACGGCACAACATGTAATCCATTATTCATTAATACACTTCGTAATGTGCATGTTTCTAATGATATAGCAAAAGGCTGAACTCAGACAGAAGCTCCTGGAATCCTCGTACTCCCTGCGCCCCATGATGCTGGGGCAGGACCGGTACAAGAGGTCCTACTGGCTTCTCCCAGAGTGTGGAGGGGTCTTTGTCGAGGGGATGGAAACTCATCTAGGTTTGTGAAAAAAGATCATCACAAATTGTTGCACTTAGACATGTGACCAGATTATTTTAAAGGACACATTTAATTGCTGAGGAAGTTATGAGTCCAGCAAATGAGAAACTGACCTTCTCCCTTTTGTTGTAATAAAAAAAAGTCTTTGTAATAAAGTGGGCAAACCATGGAGAAAAATTAGAGCAATTGTAATATCATTATAATTATTGGTATCTATTATACCAATACCATTCTTCTGTATATCGCTATATTAGTTCACCTTAATACAAATTTATAGTAAATTGATGTGATCACTCCAAATTTCATTCATCAGAATCATGTGTTAAATTACTGAATCCTTTGTAGAATTGCCTGAAAGGACTTTTGCTCTCTGAGTAACTGCTCATTTCAGTTTTACAATCCAAGGAGCAATCATAAGCCACAAGTTGACAGTTTTGGCTGTACCATTTTGATGCTGTCCAGGTCATGTGGATGTTTTGACGGAGGAGAGATGCGCCACTGTAAACAAGTCACCTTTGAGAGGGACCGAAGCGGCCACTGAGCCATCTCTCTGTATTCACAACAATGCAAGGGGGTCTTCAAGCACAAACCCTGATGAATCTCTGCCTGAATGTACTCATTTTACTATCGACCAGTACAAAAGTATCTCAAGTCCCTCCGTGCCTTTGCATCGTGATAGCAGTGCGTTTGTGAACCAGTGGATCAGCCATCTTCCTCCATGCAATAAGGCCTTTGTCAACTCTAGTCTTGTTCCTTCTTCGTCTTCTTCACAAATGTGTTCAGTTCTTGCTTCCAGTGCCTGTAGTCCTGAAGATGAAGACGTGCGACAGCAGCAGGTTGGTCGGGTTACGTTTTCTGTCAATCATTGAAGCCCTGGCTATATTCACACAGTCAGATTATGAAAACCTTTAAAATGAGCATGTATGTATTTGTATTCCTCGCTTGCACAGTCTGGCACCCATCGAGGGAGTGAGATATTGTGCGACTTGTCCAAAGAATTGACAAGTTCAAGCCTGCCCTTTGCTGGCAGCGCTGTACCCCCCTCGAAGGATCTGGCCTCCCAGCATGCACAGGGTGACGAGAACACCATCCCCTTCCAGACTGTCAGCGAGCCCCAGTCCCGCACGGCCCCCTGTGACAACTCCCCTGCTGAGGAGGTGGCCCAGCACCAGGAGCACTTCAGCCCTCTGCCCGTCCCACAGGGTAAGACGGATCATACTGCCAGCACATACACACGAGGGCAATAGATGGACAACACTTACTCTCCTCCAGACAGCCTGGACGACATGCTCTGACAACTGTCACTTAGTCTCAAAACTTGAGTGGTAAATGTGCCACAGTTGAATGTGTCTCCCTTGGCAGACATGCTAAATGGCTGGTGGTGGATGTCAAATGTGGAAGAACTGCATCATCTGTCCAAGGCGCTTCATTGTCGAGGCATCAGAGAGAGGGCTCTAACCAAACAGTTACAGAAGCATATGGAGTACCTAGACTGGCTCTACCTTCATAAAACAGGTTAGTGGGCCAATGACGTTCTAATGAGCACATAGTTTTAGAATTGTGGTGGAGGGCTGCTGAAAGATTGTTCATGTAACCATGGTAACTGTTTAGAACCGTACTCTTCTTTGCCAGTACATATCAACTCTGGTCAAATTATTTTCTCATAAGTGGTGACAATATTCATAAAACATATGCGTGATGTTGGCAGTAGAAGGGACTGTCAGACATAAGGATATAATGGTGAATAATTGTGAATCTAATAATGATCTGGGAAACATTTTGACATATTATTTGTACATGAAAAAAGAAGGTTCCCGCACACTGCTGTCCTTGCAAAAAAATTGATATTTGATATTTGTATTGGAATATGTGAGATGCCTGATAAAAGTCTCAGGACCAAAATGTCACATTTTCCAAAAAAAATATAGTTTTTGCAAAGACAGCAGTGAAATTAAATTCTACACCATTCCTTTTCCTATGACAGGTCGGGTTAATTATTTGATTTGCCTCATTTGACATTATTTCAAACGTAACTTAAGAATTATACTAATTTTAACACCGTTTTGAAGATGTAGGTTTACTTTATAATTGCAGGGCAGTAATCCTATCTTTGAATGAAACAGTGTTTTTTAATTTCAGTTAATTTTGAATTTCAGAAATTTCATAATTCTTACCTTCTAGTTCTACACTGAAAAACGAAGCCAACCAAAATAGAACAAAACCAAAATAGCTGTGACCCAATCTCACAAACTGCAGCTTAAATTATGCAAAAGTATCATTTGAATTTACAACAAGTATCATTCCATTGAGTAAAGACAAAACTATAAAAACTTGTCGTGTGCACTCAACTCCCCTGTATGTCTCTGTAAATAAATGTCTTTCTACAGATGCAGTCATCGATGTAGCAGAGCTGCAGAAGCAAGCTGGTTTTAAGGAGATGGTAGACCGCTGGTGTGTTCAGGAGCAGGCCATGAAGTGGGATATCGAAGCGCTCAAACGGGTCGAGGCTCTGGCAGGAGTCATTTCTGCCAGACTGCAAATGAAGGTATCTCAGATATAAAGTATATCTTCACCATAACATTATTAGTTAGTGGCAGTTTTGGAAGAACAATTCTGAAATTATTGAAGTGACTGTTATTGTGAAAGTTATTGTTTATTTTATGACATGCTGCTCATTATTATAAACGATGACATGACTATGGAGATGTAAAGGGGATGTGCTGTGTGTTTGGTGTAACACGCTAAAATGTACTTTACAATTCCTCCTCCCTTAGGACTGGGCTTCCCCTAAGCTCCAGGCCCAGTGTCCCAAAAGTCCTCTCGATGTAGCTGTTAGCAGGCTGGCAGAACTGGAGAGGAATATTCAATGGAGGTAAAGGAACACCCAAACAGAGAAGTAGTGACCACAAATGAGAAGGTCTATTTAAGCTTTTATACCTTATTATCTTAAAATGCTTAAGATGAGGTTTGTTTATTGTTTTCTGTTTAATCTTAGTTATCATAGTATACTCTATCAGACCCGCCAGTCAATAATATACATAATGCTTTTTTATAACGTAGACATTGGCTCAACCAACATTTGAATAAAAACAAGGAAATAAAATAGGACAGTTTGTGTTAGTACGTCTGTGTATATATTTCCTGATCGTCCTCAATGTGTGATGGTTTATTAGTAATCATCGTGTGTCTGTTGGGCCTGTGGTCTTGATTTCCGTCTGCAGTGGTTCTATGTAATACTTGCACACTTTGACTAACTTTCCAGAAAAGAGGATGAGGACGCCCCCTGGAGGCAGCAGTGGCACAAGGCTGTGGCTCAGGTCAGCAGCTCTGCTCAGCTCGTCCTGTGCATTCAGCAGCTCCAGAAGAACATGCCCTGGAATCAAGTCATGAAAGTGGTTAGATCTTTAGAAATGTTGATGTCAGATAATAATTTGTCAAATTTGCATAAATGATTAGTTTGTGTTTTTTCAGGAGTGTCAGGTTTGTCTCAGTGGAGATGATGAAGAGTCGCTTCTGCTGTGCGACAGTTGTGGTAAAGGGTTCCATGTTTACTGTCATGAACCCCGGGTCTCCTCCATACCCGAGAGCAACTGGTTCTGTTCTTTATGTTCAAGCAAGGTACCACTTCAAAAATATATACTTTATGCTTAGTTTCAGATAGGTCAGTAAGATGGAATAACAATAACACAGTAAGCGAGAAGGATAATTTTTTGGCCTTGTGTTTACATTCATGATTCAAGATTCACCCATAACAGTTACATATCAAATTCAATGTCAACTTCACAAAATGCATTGGAGACTTCAGAAACAGTGAAATACAGGAAAAGGTATTATATCGCCATAATTAAGAAGATTTACAAAATTTGAGGCAGCTCAAGTTTTTGCAAAATACCCCATTAAAGATTCATGACATAATAATGCCCTTTAACATTCAAACATATGTGTTATCTACAAATTGCCAATTAAAAGTTGCTTCTCTCCAGGATGGTGTTGTTCAGCAAATATTCTGGTCCCAGCGGACACAGAGGCATCCCAGTCCCACATCTGGACGAGGGAAGCGGCCCAGTGAAGTGAAACCAAACGGTAAGCCATCAGAGTCCGAAGAGCTCATCAAAGAGGAAACATCCAGCAGGAGCAGCCGCGTGCCAAGGAAAAGGATCAAGGAAAGCAGGAAGAGGAGAGCGGACCACGCTACACCCAGCTCCCAGAGAGACCAGGACCCTGCTGTGAAGAGGGACATCAGGAGAGAGGAGCTGGAGATGTGCCAGTGAGTCTGCACAATGAACAGATACAGGTCTAACATAGAAATGGGCTTTTGGTGTTATTATGTTCCAATAGCTAATGTGTCAATGTGCTCGTGAGTATTTAACTTAATGTGATCCTATTTTCACAGTCCTAAAATAACTATCAAATTGAATTATGAAATCTTCTGACTTTAAGGAGTCATAGTGTGCTTTGAGAGTGCGTGGTTTTAAAAGGCTTAATAATAGAATAATAATAGAATTTTTCTTTTTCATACTTTACATTCATTGGTGTTTTTAAACTTGATCCACCTACTCTTCTTGCAATTTCACAATTAAAAGATTCAAGATATGGGATAGATTACATTTAATTGGATTGCTTGCAGGAATAAACTAAATAAATTACCAAACATGCAAGAATATTCATTAATTTCAATTGGGTAACTTAAAAACAGTGGAGCATTTGCATAACGTCTTAATGGCAAACCTTATTTCACGATGAGATGTTTTTCTGGTGGTGGGTCCATCATCCGCTGGGACACTTGGAGACATTTCTAGTCATACTTTTTCTGTATGCTGATAATTCTCATTTTTAAGGCAGCTGTTAGACGAGTTAGATTCCCACCCAAGCGCCTGGCCGTTCCTCAGACCTGTGTGCTTCAAATCGGTCCCTGGATACAAGAAGGTGGTCAAGAAGCCCATGGACTTCTCCACCATCAGACACAAGCTCATCCATAAGCCGTACGTGCTTCTGACGCGTGCACTGTTCCATGTTTGTGTTGCTTTAACAAAACACGTGCTGTATTTTAGGTATACAAATGTGGAGAGCTTCATGGACGATGTGAACTTAGTCTTTGACAACTGTGAAAGATTCAATGAAGATGATTCTGAAATTGGGAAAGCAGGGCACATTATGAGAAGATTTTTTCACAAAAGACGGACGGAATTACTGAATAGAATCTGATCCACTCTCAAGACATTTTGCAACATTATGAACATTGTGACGGGGACGTTTCCTGCAATAAAGGGCAAGCACACGGGAAATATCAAAGACATGCCGGGTAAACTCTGCCAGCTCCACCACCATCATATGTGAAATGATGTCTACATTTTCCCTTGTAAAAAAGCCTTGGTTTGTATATACTTGTTCTAAGTGTAGGGAAATTATGTTGTATGTTTGTTGATTCATGTACAATATTGGGTCTCACCTGAAACCCTTTCTTAAACATACAAATATGTTCAATGTTTTCTCACAGATCACTGGATGATAAGCCCATAATACAAAACAACCTTGCACTGGTCCTTTGGCCTGATTATCTGTTGAGAGTACAGTTTATATGCACGTGTTTAAAATAAATAATGTTTAAAAAAAACTTGTTTAATTTGTGTTCACAATGGTTTATATGTTGTTGTTCTGTCTTATTATTTTCCTTGTGGATACATAATGGACATATTATGTATTACTATTGCTGGCAGAGTACTTGGCACAAAGTCCAAGTTGTTACTCATGGTCACATGAACTGATAAGACTTAAAGGTCTACTTAAGTAAGTATTGCGATAAAGCTGGCTTTGGATCCATGAGGCAGAGGAAGCAGTGTTTGCTCATGTTATTATTCTCCATTGCCCTCCATACACTTCACCTCCCATCCTTTTCTCTCCAGTACGCCCCCGTGTGCCTGAGTCCTGTGTCTGTGTCAAAATGGTGTCTCTAGTGCGCAGTCTGGGGCAGCACACGGAAGAGGTGAGCGGCTGCACCTTCTCCGCGGCCCTGCTGGCCACCTGTTCCGGGGACAAGACTCTGCGTGTGTACGGCGGCTTGGATCTGTGCGAGCTGCCGTTCTCTCCTCTGCGCGGACACGCGTACGGGGTGCACTGCTGCTGCTTTACGTCCTGCGGGACGCACCTGCTCAGCTGCTCCACAGACGGGACGGTGCTGGTGTGGAGCGCTCGCACCGGGGACAGAGTGTGCGCACTGGAACATCCAGCCCGCAGTCCGCTGCGCGTCTGCGCCGTGGCCCCGGACTCATCCCTGGTCCTCGCAGGGGCCAGTGATGGGACCGTGGCGCTCTGGGATCTTCCCAGCAGAACTCTGCGAAGGTAAACTTGTACTCCATGTAGAACCGTGGAGGTTCTTACACGGATTTCATACATCCAATCAATGGGCGCTATTGACTATACAGGAAAAAGTATGAATGATCAAATTGCCTATAATTCAGAGATTGATCTTAATGTATCCCATAATATAGGCCTATTATCACAACAGGTCTTTTTTAACTGTCAATATCTAGCGCCTATCCAAAACATGTTTTAACAATCAAAAGTCAGATTATTATCTTAAATTATGATCATGAATCACAAGGAAAAACTGATGGCCTGTTTTATATTGGTCTATTTTATACCCGTAAGTGTGTAGCTCCAGACAGTGTCCGTTCCCCTTTGATTTCACCATCGCAAAAGTTGAAAGCATAAACTTGTTCTGTTTTTTGTGCCAGGTGTCATGCTGTGAGTGAAGCCAGTGTGGTGGCGTGCTGCTTCTCTCCATGCAGTCAGATGTTTGTGACGGGGAGCACCCATGGAGACCTCCGGCTGTGGGCAGTGGACGGTAGCTCTCTGTGGGTGCACAAAGATGCTCATGACCTGGGGGTGACCTGCTGCTGCTTTGCGCCACAATTTAACATTGGTAGGTATTTGAAATCTGAAATATTATAGCGCCTCTCGAAGACCAGAGTCACAAAGCGCATGCATGCTGTCACTCCACACAGAGATGGGAGCAGGGTCACCACAGGAGGCACATTTTTAGTGGTAGGGGAGTCCGGAGCACCTGCAGACACAGGGAGAACATGCAAACTCCACTTGAAATGCTGAACCCAGTACCTTCTTGCTGTGAGGCACTATTATTTAAATGTGTACATTCCTCACCTTTTGTTTATACATGGGAAGTGAATACACATGAGTGTTTCCAAGTGTTCTACAACATTTAGATGAATCAAGCATGTTTTGCATTTACCATCTAGCTCTACCTTATCTCATTTTTGAACAACAGATCTTTTTGATAAAAAAGATGAGATTATTGCCCCCTGCTTTTTACAGTTTCATTATTAACACGATCTTTTTGCATTCCTCAAGAAAGCCCAATGTGTCTATATGCACATTTCACTTTGGAGAGACCCATGAGGAAGATGCCGTTAGACTTATTAGATTTAAGCATGTTTATGATTGAGCATGTTTGGCGCCCTAGGCCCGGGAGGGATGCTGTTGAGCACGGCGCTTGCTCGCGTGCATAATCCCCCCGGGGCCTAGGTACTGGTGACGGCAGAGGCAGTAGGCAAGCGCGCTTCGATGAGAGAAGGAGGAGGTGGGGCGGTGGAGGCTTGCAGACTTCAGAAGGCCGGAAAGTGGGCATCTCCGGCTTTTAACTTGCTGTCCTGGTGGTTATTGGTTGACTGGATGTGGGCGTTGCTGGTATTGATGAGTCGAGGAAGAGCAGCCTGTGGCCTGGGCAGCAGCAGCCGGGTCTACCACAGTGAACTTTCGCAAAGCTCCATTTCACTTTGGAGAGACCCATGAGGAAGATGCTGTTAGACTTATTAGATTTAAGCATGTTTATGATTGAGCATGTTTGGCGCCCTAGGCCCGGGAGGGATGCTGTTGAGCACGGCGCTTGCTCGCGTGCATAATCCCCAAAAAGCGGGCCTGCAATTTGGGTAGCAGGATGTACTGCGCGGGCCTGAGAGCATGAGTGAGGCTTCTTGCACGGTCGCTTCGGCCGGCTGCGTCCGCTGGGGCCCGTGTTTGTTTAGGCAGAGCGAGCTTAGGATATGAGCGTGCTCATATTCGCCAGACGCTGAAGCCAAGAATCTTTGAGCGAACTGGGAACATGCGCGCACGCGCATGTTCAGCCAGTCGCAGCGCAGGGGAGTCTTTGAGCGAGCTGGGAATATGAGATGCACGCTCATATTCGCCAGACGCTGAAGCCAAAATCTTTGAGCGAACTGGGAACATGCGTGCACGCGCATGTTCAGCCAGTCGCAGCGTAGGGGAGTCTTTGAGCGAGCTGGGAATATGAGATGCACGCTCATATTCGCCAGACGCTGAAGCGCTGCAGCAGAGGAATCTTTGAGCGAGCTGAGACATGCGCGTTTGAGGAAGTGCGTGCCGCCACCAGAATCTTATTGCTTACTTGCTTTGCTGGGAGCTTACGAGGAAGCCGGTAAACGTTGAGCGGCCATGATAGCGGTCGCATCTGGCCTGATGTAGGTGGAGAAAGCTGAAGAGGACCAGCGCCCCAGCTGTTGTAGAGAAGAGTGGGGGAGCCCCAGCGAGGCCGCGACCACTGGGAATGTCTCGTGTAGGGCAGAGGAAATGCTCCGGGGAAAAGTAGCGGGCCACGGCCCTGCCAACCACTGGTCCTGGGAGAACCCCCCAAAACCCACGGAAGGGGCAGCGGCCGTGTAGAAGCGGAGACCTGTAGGGGCAGAGAGACATACCGAGGAGGGCCAATGATGTTGCAGGCGCCCTTACGCTTAGAATCTGGGGATGGAGATTAGATAATCAGGATAGTAGGATAGGTCGGGAAAGCGTGTCTCGGACCGCATTGAAGGTTGAGTGAGCAGTAGTGAAACGCTTATGCAGAGAAGCCATAGAAGGCGAGCAGGAAGATGCTGCGAGGAGGGCAGACATGTACTTGGACGATGAGCCGGAGTTCAGTGCCGCTCAGAGCTGCTGCAGGATGGGCAGCATGATGGGGAGCCTGCGATCAGAAGAGTGAAGAATACAGGTGTGGATGCCTTTGAGTAGGAGTTTGATTGACAGCTCAGCAGTAAAGAGAGATGTAAAGTGAAGAGACGTCAAAGTAAATGAAGCAGTAGCAGCAGCAGTGTTGCAGCAGTGGTTGCAGCAGTAGCAGTAGCAACAGCAGCAGTTGCAGCATCCTTAGATAATAACAGCAATAATCCTGTATCAAGGCCACAGCAGTAGAAATTGTTGTAGCTGTTTAGTGTTACAGAAAGAGAGATGTAAAGGGAAGAGAGATGTCAAGTAAATGAAGCAGCAGCAGCAAGCAGTATGAAGCTTCCAACGCGGTTTTACTGCAAGTGGCAGAACATGAATCTGAATTAATGCACGTGCTCCTCTTATATCCCTCAGACGATGGATATTGATACCATTTAACATGCGTTGCCCCTCAGTTAGCTCAAACACAAGTGAAAACGAAGCCTGCAGTCCAGTGTACGGGGCAAAAACCAAGCCCGCAGTCCAGACTCCGGGATTAATCCGTCCGCGGTCGGCACGCTCACTGTACTGTACTGTACTGTACATGCCAGGAGACTTGGGAAAAGCAACGGGACAACGCGGCCCGCCAGACCGTCTGCGCGCGGCAGCAGACCACGAGGAACGAGCAGCACAGAACCCGCGGAGGGCCCCACGGAGAGCCCGCAGAAAGAGCCCGCAGAAGAGGAGAGCAGTGGAGACGCGCGAACCACAGCAGGCAGGGACGCAAAGGAGGAGCAGACCACAAGCAGCCAGACTGAGAACAGCCGGGCCACGCGCACGAGCAACACGTGAGCACAAGCGACCCCTCCAGAACAACGCATGCATTTGCGAACAGGTGCGTTAGCGACATGCACCTTGCAGACTTCAGAAGGCCGGAAAGTGGGCATCTCCGGCTTTTAACTTGCTGTCCTGGTGGTTATTGGTTGACTGGATGTGGGCGTTGCTGGTATTGATGAGTCGAGGAAGAGCAGCCTGTGGCCTGGGCAGCAGCAGCCGGGTCTACCACAGTGAACTTTCGCGAAGCTCCATGTGTCTGGGATGTATGCAAGTGTGTGCTCACTGCAGGTTGGGCCATAATCATATTGCAGAGGTTTAAATAAGTAAAAAATAAATAAAAAAAACACCTTAAGCATAAGCTTTTAAAAAATGTATAAGACAAGAAATTTGCAAGGTTTAAATCTTTATTTAAATCTTCTACAAATGTTGTTATTCTAAAAGTATTCAGAGGTTTGGCTTTATTATTATTTATTTAGCTTAATTTTACATTTAACAATAATCAATCAAATAATAAAGATTTGTGTAAAAGTTTAAAGTGGTGGTCATATTCCATCACAGAAATAAATCCTGATTTTCATAAAATTATATTACTAGAAATCCATCCATCCATCCATTTTCTTCCCCTTAATCCATTTCTGGGTCGGGGGGGGGGGTGGCAGTCAGAGCTGCACCCAGTACACAGAGCACCAGCCCTTCACTGATCCTCCTGCAGGTGGTGAGTCCACAGGAGCTGAGATCTTTCAGTTGGGGCTTTGGGCAAAGTGGGGTTAAGTGTCTTGCCCAAGGACACAACGACAGCAGTCATCAGTGGGAGTCGTGAAGTAGGTCTTACGGTGGGCTCAAACCCACGACCTTCAGGCCCAAAGGCCAATGCTCTACTAACTGAGCTACTGTCGCCCCATTACTAGAAATCAGTTTAATTGAATAGTTTGGTTAAAGGAAAACATTAATACTAATTAGATGTGATGTGAACAGAATTAAAACAATCTACCAGTTTGATGTATAATGATCTCATTGCGTTGACTGATCTATGTTGTTATCACACATTTAGCCACGAAACATTTCCACACGTAAACAGTAAACACAAAGTTCTGATGTCAAACAAGTGCCTTCTCCTTGCAGATGGCTGCTGCGTGGAGTTTCGACTGGCCTCCTGCGGACAGGACAGCCAGCTGAAAATATGGATAGTGTCTCAGCGTGAGGGCACAGGTACTGACCCCTTCTCTGCTGCACGCCGCTGCTTTAACCTTCAAAACTCTCTCTGAACACAAGGATTTTATTAGTGTGCAGCATAAATCAGCAGCAGGCTCACTCATTAATAATGGATCCCTTTAAGACACACTTCTGAAATACAGCCTTGGAGAGTGGGGTCTGTATCAGGTAGATATTTCTCTATGACATCTAAATTATTTACCATAAGTCTACAGAGCTCTGCGTGGAAAAATGCGTTCTTGTATTTGTACTGTGTTGGGCCCTTATTACTAGTCCATCTCCAGACTGTGGTGCTCGAGGCTTAAATGTGTTGAGTCTCATTCATGGCAGCAGTGATAAAGGATGCAGGCTTGTGTGTGTGCGTGTGCGTGTGTGCGCGTCCAATTGATTTTCACTTTGGTGTTTAAAATTGTGTTTAAAAGGAACATAGAATACAAAGAATAGTGGCCTGTTAGTGTTCTGTGTTACCACATGACTGGGATGTGCTGCCCAAGTGATGGACCAAACACAATCTTACTGAACTTCTCCCAGTCAATACTATATACTGAGATCACTAAGCACGATTTGGTTAATATAATGCTAAATGAAAACGGTGACAGATTGCAAAGCTAGTGTTAGGATTAGAGGAATTGGTAAGTCGTACTACTTAAGAGAAATCCTACTATTTTAAAGATAAAATAGTAGGATTTTTTGGACCCTAAACATATTGGCATTTTAGAACTAAATTCACAGGAAATGGATAAGAGTGTGGTGGTCTAATGATGATCTAAAGTCCTTAAACTGCTCCACCTGGTGTTAGAAGTGTAAAATTACATTCAGTCAACAACAATCATTAATTACAGCTTCACAGATGTAAAGAACGTTATTTCACTTGATACATTGTCATAACTAATTTGAAGGCCATACATGACACACTAGTGGATTAGTAAAGAATTCCAGGTCTGACAAAGGGACAATGTTGTAACATGGTTAAAAAAGCCACCCATTGAAGTAACTGCAAATAACAGAAATAGAGGCACTTATATAGCCACATCCCAAGCAGAAAAAAAGCTGCTTGGGATGTTTCCACTATACCTTTAAACAACTCTGGAATGAACATGTCCATAAGGCTTATATACAAATACCGCTCCAGGTACAGAGTGCAGTGCGGAGTTTGCTTTGGCCTGTCGGTAAAGCCTGTGCCTATTCAGCTGTGACTGTAAACATTTGACTACAAGAGTCCAGACAGCTGTCAGTGGGAAGCACAGATGTGAACAGCAGGGGAAAGATGCATTTGAAAAGTTTTTGTAGACGGTCTGTTCTCCCAAGTTTTGTTAACTTTATTTTTATGGACGTCACAATATACAGTAAGTGTACATAAATTCAGACAAGACATTCCACGCATACATAGACAAGATATGAAGAACATAGACATTTATAATGCAAAATGTGATTAAATATGAAGTAATAAAAATAACTCAATTCAATAATTATCTTAATTTGAGTACATTCTGTCTTAAAACAAGATTTGCCAATGGAACAAAGCCATTTAGTCTTATTTTAAGAACTATTGCTTTATTTTATCATTCCAAGGGAAACATTTCATATATCTAAGATAATTTAGCGTGTCCCATGGGAAAATCTTGTTTTAACCCTTTAATGGATCACTTTTGGAGTCATTCTTTATACTTGAAGCATGCTTGGACCATTTTGTGATGAGTAAAAAATATTTTTTTTTTTAAACAAACAAAACAAACAATTATTTTGTTATCTGTGCTTTTGCAAAGAAAAAAAGACATTGCTTTATTAATCGAGAGAACATTATAGGGTTACGGTTTTTACGGAAGTGTACCGGCGAAACATGTCAGGTAATTAAGCATTACTAGCTTTCTTTACTTTCTTGTCTTATTAAAAGCCTTTTAAAGCCTTTTTGCATTTATTATCGGGTTAAGGCGTCAGAATGTGCTTAAATCGCTTTTTTCAGTGTAGAAAACACCCATCCATACAATACAGAGCATAAGACATCACTGATGGAACAGAGAAAAAGTGTGAGTGTGTGGGGTCTCAGCGTCAGCAATATTCTCACATACAAAAGATGTGGGGGTAATAATAATAGTAATGTAATATAATAACATCCTTAATGTATGTTTGTCATTGACGACAGTGCTGTCCGTGAAACTGCTCCACACCCTCACCAGCCAGACGGCCCCAGTCCTGACCTGTGCCTTCTCCTCAGACGGAGCCCTCGTAGCCTCTGGGTATATATTCAAGTCAATTCCATTTATTTTTGCATTGCCCTGAATTACAACAGTAGTTATCTCAAAAATAATAATAGAAATTCTCATTCACTTTTAAACTCTAATAAAACTAGCTATAAAAGTAAAAAGAATTATGTAATATTCTTGATTCTAAATTCAACTTATTTTTTCTGTGCAATTTGCCATTCCCCATTTAAACAGTGTGAATCTATGCGTTGCAATAAAACTAAGTCAGGCCATTTGTAAAAGACTGTTTAAATGGACCGCAGTGTGTTGTTAGACCTTGTCTAACAACACTTTCTTTCCTAGATCTGTGGACAAAACGGTTGCCATATATGACGCAGTAAGCCTCTTTTCTCTAGTTTAATCCCAACAACGCTTCGACTCACAATAACAAACTGCGTCTGTCTCGTCTTTCTGTCCTTCCCAGAACTTTGGAACTCTTGTGCACTGCCTGAAACAGCATGACAGGTGAAATGGGCCGCTCTCCCACTGATTTGCAATCTCCACAAGCTCCCGACAGGCTGGGCTTAAAGAAACATCAATGATCAGATCAAAACATGCCATTTTTGCTTGATTAGTTTTCCCCCTGTCGAGCCGGGGCTCTGATGTAACAGCGGCAGAGGTATGTTCCCTGCTTTTTCTCTTTCTGACTGAAGGGGCATCACAGGCAGGCGGCGTAGGGCTTTGAAGTGGTTGAAAGGGTTTTAAAGTTGATATCTGTGCCGTGTTGTGCACGTGTCTTCTGCTTTAGATATGTTACTGCAGTTGCCATGTCGCCCACAAAACCCTGCCTGGCAACCGGCTCAATGGACCGGACCGTCAACGTGTGGAGGATCGGAGAAGTGGACAACTCGACGGGTAAATATTAAAGCTGTGGTCTCTAACTTTCAAAACACCAACACATGCAATAAAGTCCATGCAACTAGTTACTGGAAAAACAAACTGAGCATGAATGCGTGCAGCTACGCTGATGATTGACAGCCCTTGGCATGACTTGATTGGTTAACGTGGATGGCATCGTGGATTCTGAGCTATAGCTAAGAGAAGGGAAGGCGGGACTTACCTGTAATATTAGAATTAATAAAATGACTTATTTTATATCAACATTTAAGGCCAGGAGGTCAATTTAACACATTTATTAAAACAATTCATTAATTTAGAGTTCCAGACTATCACTTTAATTCTTCCATTCACAAAGCCTCCAACATGTATAGGACATATAACAATTGTGTCCCCAAAGTTCAATAACATTTTTTTTGAAAGGCATCAATTTTTCTTGAAATGGTTGTAGCTGCCCATCTATAAGCTACATAGTAATAAAGGATATATTTTTGGTTCATAGATCTACTTTATTGCCGCTTGAAGTAAGATTGACGCATTGTACAGTTTCGTGTCAGGTGTCACATTTTGATATCAGCTTTTTCAGACAGAAAAGGGAGAAAGAGAAGACCACCCTCACTCATATAATCAGCTCTCAGCCTTAAGTGCCAAGTATTGACTTGCATGGGTCTTACCGAGTATGTGAGAGGAAGAATGTGTTCTGAAAGATGAAGACAAGATTAAGATTCTTTCTGTTGGGGGAAATGCTATGCATTATGTATGAACAAAAAAGTTAGGTATCCCAGCTTTAACAGAAATAGTACTGAACTGCTTTTTAAGATCCAGTGTTTCTAGTTTATTTTATTTTATATTTTTTATGTACATCAATTATTTTTTATGTATGCAAAATAAGGTAATAAACAGGTGATACTTAGGTCATCAATACACAACATTCTATAGAAAATGCAATGATTTATTTACAAGAAAATCATGTTTAAATGTATGTGAAAACTTCCCTTGTAAATACCATTAACCTCAACATAAGTTAACCCCAAAGTAATGCTACAGATTTAAATTGACACGCTCAATATTTCTAATATTTTTACAAATTGGTTGAAAATATTAAAACGTGCAACAAGCCAATGACACACAACTTCTGTGCTTTCACTTTTTAATTCCCTTAATTTTGCCCCAGTGCCTTAATGAATACAGGAGCAGAAGCCAGGGTGGAAAAATGCAAATGAAGTCATTTTGAAACATCTGCTGCGAAACATGCCACTTTTGCAAATGTTGTTCATGTTTTTCACACAGCTGCCTGCACCACTCTCCATCATCACAAGTTCACATCAGAGCCTGCACTCACTGCCCAGTTACTGGTATTCACTCTGAGTGTTCCAACAGTGACACAGGCATGTCAAGATTCAGATGAAGAACAAGTTACAGAACAGTTGGAATGAGGAGCACCCAAACACCAGATAATATATAAGTGAAGATGAAGTCCAGCATAAGTATACTTGAAAAAATGACTTTGAGGTCATTAAACCTCATAGTGGTGATGCTACTGTATGTTTTAGCAGCACACAAAAAGAATTAACACAAAATTAAGATCAATGATAAGGAATAAAGGAAATGCTGAAATGTATTCATCATTCTAAAAAGACAAAAAATTCCAATATGTATCAAAGAAAGGTAATTAATGCCAAATCTGACAGACATTTTTGATAAACTTTAATACTTATACACACAGCAGGCGGAGGAGGAAAGTATGACAAACCACTTCCAGAAAATCCCATGTTATTGCTATAAATATATTCAACCTTCAACTAAACATTTTAGATCCATGATTTCTATGTTTCCGTACGCTCATGGTCATAATTCAATAGTACAGCGCACCATTAATCAGACCCAAAAGCCTTTAGGTCATTAAACCTCAAAGTATAAACATATAAAGTACTAACCTACTAAGCTTGATACTCCACAGATAAATAAAGTGCACTTATTAATCCCTGTAGGGAAATTCCTCCTCTGCATCTGACCCATCCTGATGTCACTAGGGCGTCCATCAGTGGTGGTCGCAGTAATTGATTTTACCTATTGTTCATGTATAGTGAACAATGTAGAACGGTGGTAGAGGAAACCGGAGCACCCAGAGGAAACTTACACTGGCACAGGGAGAACATGCAAACTCCCCTCAGGAAGGCCCTGAAAGTCCTGGGATTTGAACCCAGGACGTTCTTGCTGAGAAGCGAGAATGCTATCCACTCAGCCTTTAAAACCTTTTGGTTTTCTCACCAGTTTTCAAATGTATGTAGTTGTGACTTCTGTCACATTTTGATATCAGCTTTTTCAGACAGAAAAGGGGGAATCAGCTCTCAGCCCAAAGCGCCAAATAGTGACTCAAATGGCTCTTACTAAGTATATGATAAGTACTAAAGTAGGGCTGAAACAACTAATCGATTAATCGACGACTAATCGATTATTGAAATAATCGTTTTCTGGTTCACACAGACTCAAACAGAGCAAAAATGACATGAAAATGTAGTATTTTTGATTAAAACAGACTTTGTTTTTATAATTTCATGAATATCTGTCTGTCTCATCCAATCAGATAGCAGAATTAGCACAAAGAGCCTGTTACAAACATTTACTTTAAGATTACGCCATCAATACGTCCTCGAGTGTTGCCACTTTAGCTTTTTGTGATGAAAAAATATTTTTTTTCTACACAGTTCACAGCCAAGCGATTACTCGATTAATCGTAAAAATAATTGATAGATTAATCGATTACAAAATAATCGTTAGTTGCAGCTCTATACTAAAGACAAGATAAAGACTCTTTCTGTTGGGCCAAATGCTATGTTTCACGTATGAACAAAAAAGCTGGGAATCCCAGCTTTGACCTACTTTTTAAGATCCACTGTTTATAGTTTATTTTCTTGTATGTTATTTATTTATGTACATCAATTGTTTTTGTTAATAATAACCAAAGAAATTGGTGAATAGGAGAACATGCAAACTCCTCTCAGAAAGGCCCTGTTCCGACTGGGATTCGAGTGCTATCCACTCAGCCACTGTGCAGTACTATATTTCACAGTGCAAAGAAATATATATAATGGTTATCTCTGTGCAAGAATATTGAAGTAATAAGTCCTTAGCTGTGGATTCCAATATTCACAGTGGTGATTCTATTTTAGCAGCACAAACGAATTGTGTTAACACATAGTTAAGATCAGTAATAAGGAATAAAGGAAATTCTGAAATGTATTCATCATTCTAAAATGACTAAAAAGTCCTATATGTATCAAAGAAAGGTAATTATTGCCGAATCTGACAGACTCGGATAGACATTTTTGATCAACTTTAATACTCACTGTATACACCCGGGAGGCGGAGGAGGAAAGTATGACAAACCACTTCCAGAAAATCCCATGTTGTTGCTATAAATATATTCAACCTTCAACTAAACATTTTAGATCCATGATTTCTATGTTTCCGTACGCTCATGGTCATAACTCAATAGTACAGCGCACCATTAATCAGACCCAAAAGCCTTGTCCCCTCAAATGCACCATCTCTTGTCTTCAAAACGGCTCCTTCTGGCACAGTTCCATATCCCAGGGGCCAGTTGGAGCACCGATGTCTCCCTGAAGAGCGCTTTGGGAGATGTCCAGCTCCTTTCATATGCAGTGCAGCGGCCTCTGTGTCTGGACTGGAGCAAAGTAGCAGAGATGAGCTTTTCTCAATGCAAATGGTTGTGATGAAACAGTCTCCAGACATGAAAGGAGGGAGTTGGAATAGTTTCTGAAAAGAGGGTGCAGTTCTCAGCCATACGCAGACTGTAGAAGAGTCATCATATGCCCTGTTGAACCAACTTAATCTGTGGGGCATATTGACACAAAATTGGCCTTTTCAAGTTTTTACTCATGTTTTAATTGTTTGTTCCTCTCCTGTACCGTGTCTGTTTAGTGTCTTTTTCTTTTAAAACAGAATTGATTCGACAACAAAAGTTTTTTCTTATCATTTAGCAATAAACCTCTTTGTTCATGAATCATAATTATACATACATTTTAAATCACAAAATTAGTGGATTTTTTCAGGTTATATCTTTGGTTTTCATAAATGCCCTTCCGCAAAAAAATTGAAAATAGTTGCATTAAAGTATATGTTGCCAGAACGCATAGCTCCACTCATGTCATTTCGTTTTTCTGAAAATGACCAGTTTCAAACACAAAGTAAAGAATGTTATTTCACCTGAGAAATATCCAAAATCAATTAAGGAGCAATACTTTTGTTTTAACACCCCAAAACGGCTAAGTATGATGTCATAGTGGCAAAATTACATCATACTATTACGGTATTGTGACAGGAGCTTTTCCACAGAAGGGGCATGTTTGAGCCCGAAGTTCGGATAAAGACGACTCTAGTTCAGTTTTGGATGAGGAAACAATGTTGTAATCTTTATTTATTTTTATTCATATTGCGCTTTACAATGTTCAGAGTTCAGATATTGTTCCATCCTCTCCACACGGTGATGACAGAAGCGTGACATGTTTGAAAGCTATAATGTCAACTTGCATCATACGTCCCCTTTAAAATAACGATAAGTGATGTCAGCTCGGTCTTCAGTAAAGTCTTGCTTGTAGTGGATGAGGCGTTACTTGCACTTCTTCCTGTTTTTGGGTCATTTGGGGGCTGCAAGCACACTCCCTGCATCATCAGTCCTCCCGATCGCCTCGGCATAACGCACCCACAGAAGATAAGACACATAAAAGACATATTAAATGAAATCACACGGCCGACTGAAGCAGCTTTGCAAATATATTCCCCCCCAACTCACCGTTCTTGAGTGTTTGCCACGGTGACTCAACGGCACTTCTAAGGCCTGAGAAATGCAGAAAGTAAACAGTTTATGGAAACCTTTACAGTCATTGAATGCGGAGGGTGAGCGCATTCATGAGGTCATCTTTTGAGTGCGCTGCCGGGCTCTTCGTCATGTGGGGACGGAGAGAATACAGAGGAGGCGGTCTGTCTGGAAAGTGTCTTTGTTGCAGTCTAATACCAGAGCCTTGTAGTGCAGATATTTGAGTATAATTTGACAGCCTTAAGAGCAATACACACACAATATGTTGTTAAATGTCAGGTCATCAAATCATGCTCTTTTCGAATACTTCTTTAACTAATAACTGTAGTTCAACCGGGATATTCAAATTGAAAAAATGTTTTGTTATTGATGTCCAACCCTCCACCGTTTTACCAATCAGAAAGGCCGTGATCCAGGTTACCAGAATTGACTAATCTCACCTAATCTCACTGGTAAAGTAACATGTGGCCACAGAACTAAAAATTGGCAAGGAATAAAACCAGGATTTCTATTGGGGCCTTTGTGAAAAAGGTGTTGGTTATAGATTTGTTGTTGGCAAAACGCTGGTATATTCAGCTCTTACGGTCCCAGCTGGATTCGTCTGCATATCTGGCAACCTGAGTCACGTTTTTCTACTTGTTTCCTCTTCATTCCCCAGACAGGACATTGCTCCATGGCGCCCCCTGCGACTCCAAGATGAAGCTGCTCAGTGATTGGTCGGAAAAGGAGGTGCAGAGCTGGCTGTGTGAGGAGGGACTGGAGGAGCTGCTCGTCATCTTCAAAACTAACAACGTGGACGGACACGAGCTTTATTGCTTCAATAAGGAAACAGCAGCCGAGATGGGCATTGGTGAGTCAGACCAACCACAGGACCTGGTCTCTCTCTCAGGTCTCTCTCTGGTCTCTCTCTGGTCTCTCTCTGGTCTCTCTCTGGTCTCTCTCTGGTCTCTCTCTGGCCTCTCTCTGGTCTCCCGCTCAGGTCTCGTTCAGGTCTCGCTCAGTACTCGCTCAGGTCTCGCTCAGGTCTCGCTCAGGTCTTGCTCAGGTCTTGCTCAGGTCTCTCTCTCTGGTCTCTCTCTCTGGTCTCTCTCTCTGGTCTCTCTCTCTGGTCTCTCTCTCTGGTCTCTCTCTCTGGTCTCTCTCTCTGGTCTCTCTCTCTGGTCTCTCTCTCTGGTCTCTCTCTCTGGTCCCTCTCTCAGGTTCCTCTCTCAGGTCCCTCTCTTAGGTCCCTCTCTGGTCTCTCTCTGGTCTCTCGCTTAGGTCTCTCTCTGGTGTATCTCCCTGGTCTCTCTCTAGTCTCTCTCTGGTGTATATATAAAAAAAAACTCTACTAATAATGAACCACTTGAATAGATTTGATTAAAAAGGGGAATGCAACAGCCTGAATATAAGAAATCCAAATCCAAACAATAATAACTCATGGGCTTCTAAAATAAAGACACAGATATTAGAAATCCTCTGTTTGTATTTCAAGTGAGGAAGGATGGGTCTAAAAAGAAATAAAACACATTTCCCCATGGGCACAATGAATTTAGCTTATCTTAATTACCAAATTATCCAAATCTCTCATATCTCACACAGCTATAATTACTAAAATATTAAAAAGGCATATAGAAAAATCAAAATTCTGCACAATGGATTAAAATAATTTGTAGCTTGATGGTTGCACTGAATTGTAGCATTGTCTATGGATTTCCCGACCTGCAAACTTAGCTTAGGTACAAGTAAACAATGAAATTCTAATGAGTTCATGTTACTTCTGTCTAGTTGACTCCATCCTCCTGAAAACCAGTTCATACACTAACAACCAAACAACAAAAGCTGAGCTAACAACAACACAATTCGCACTGTGGTCTTGTGCAAAGCTGAGAGCTAAACAATGAGCGTGGAAACATGAAAAATGCACTCATTAGCTGCGTATTGTTACAGATAACCTTGCAAACTCCACTGGGTCTCCACCAAAAAAATAAATAATAGATTTGTTTTTTTCATGCCATGATAAAATCCTACTTATGCGAGGTCCTTCAGTCCATAAAAGCTATTTATTCAGCCTGTTAGGACTCTCTGTAGTCCAGTTATCAGCCCACACTCACTTTTAGTGCTGTCCCTGCATGCTAATTACCTTACAAAGTTTAGTCAGATATTACTGGATTTGCACATACAGCAAACATATTTCCCGTTTCCACCAGCCCTGCTCGGCCCTACTCGGCTTGGCTCTACTCTACCTGGTTGCGTTTTGTATTACGTTTTAGTATCTGCTGCCTAAACTTGCAAAATACCCACTACAAACGTGTGGTGTGTGACTCTGGCCAATCTCTGTCAGTTAGAACTTTTGCACCAGTTCGACCTGGTTAGAACTAGGGCCAAGCAGATACTAAAAAACTAGCTAGTACTGGTTAAACAGGGCCGATGGAAGCGCTCCTAATCGGGGTAATGTATGACCAAGTAGAGTAGACTAGGGCCAAGTAGGGAAACAGGGCTCTATATAGTGGTGAACATTTGAGAGAAATCTACAATATGAACTAAGGCTAAGCTAATCAACAGCTGCTTAACTTTACAAAAACTTTTCTGTAAAAACTAACAAATGTTGCAAAACTCGAAGTAGATAAAAAATCATCTTTTACAGCACAAAACACAACTACATGAGATGTATGAGTTGAAAGTGTGTTTGAATAATATGTCAGAGCAGATGTGTCCTTGGATTGGCTCAGCTTGAACCTATTCCTTATTAAAATGATAAACCTTTGCAGAAGGATTTTCTATGTAATGGTTCTTTTCACAGAAAGTTATTTAGCGAAAACATAGCATTGTGTTTTTATGGGTCCATATCGTGTCATACAGTTATTTGTGTTTTCTCCATGCCTTCATCTGCTCTCCTCGTTATCCTCTCAGTCACGGAGAAAACGACACATTGTTGTTTAAATTGGACAGAAGTAAACAACTCCTGCTCAGCTATGCAGAACATGTCCAGCTTCACTGCATCTACTTTGCATGTATTTAGACTGGAGCACTGGGTTCATCATCACAACCAATCAGGGCAGGAAAATTCTTTATTTCCTGTCCTTTTTGGCGTGCATGTACAACTAAGTATACACGTTCACACGCACACGCACAAACACACACACGTATATGTTTCAAGACTTGACAATATTCATGGAGAAGTGTGAGGAGGAGGTGAAAGCTGATTTAATTCACTATATCTGCACCTAGACAGCTCCACACTGCACTTTCATTGTGTCGTCTGGTAGAATTATCAATCTAAATGTAAATGGTCAGAGCAGCGCTGATGGCAGAAAGGGGAGGCACACACTGAGGACTTAAAGATGCAGGAGGTGGTGGTTCCAGTCTCCACTTGTGGATCGCTTCAGTGACAAGTCAAACAATGTTAAACAGTACAATGCATGTAACAATGTATTAGTAAGGATGAAATTGCAACACCCTGATCAATAAAGTGTCACAATTTTACCTTTTTAAAATAGAACTGTACGATGAATCCGATAATCCTGTTGTAAAGACTTCTTGATGTATGTCACAGGAGGGGATTGAGCCAACTTCCAAGGAACACTTTTAGCAAAATAGTTTTAGCCTATAGGGCGTGTAATTTTTAGACTTTTTGTTGACTTTGACAATCTTTACTTTTTTATGTTTACATTTTATACTGTTTCAGTTTTGAGTTTGCAAGAATGTATTTCCTATGCTCTGTCATATTCTTTCTTGGTGTCCCCTTCACCTCAAGGCTAAATAGTCCTCACATTCGTCTTGGGCGGTGTGTCCTTCTGTGATGTCTGACGCTTCTTCTCCCAGCACAGATTGACTAATTAACTTATTTTTTCCTCTGAGACCGTAGAGGACACATTCTGTTCAAATCCCATCACATTATAAAAACCCTGCTCTCCACCAACTCTGCTCAGCCCAGGTTTATGGAAAGTTGTCTTCATGGACACATGAAAATGACTGTATTTAGTTTTTTGACACAGGAATAAGATGTTTTGCTGTGATAGAGTCTGATAGAAACGCATAGAAAAGATCCAATATCAACTTTCTACTGGGACCTTATTTTGCTAACAGCTTCTTTACACAAGCTGTTATCAGTTTGAGCAAAGCACAAATGTTCTTACACTTGTATTAAAACTGTTTTTGTTGATGGATTTCACAGTGACAGTTGTTTAGCTTGTTTTATTTATGTACTTGTCTGGTGCACACTGGGGACTTTTACTGCAAATGGCTAAAAAATTAATCTTTATCTGAGCCATGGAGATCTGAGTTTACCCTACTTTCTGATTACATGCAGATACATTTAGAGATTAAAGGAACATCACAACCTTTGGACAATTTCTACTGTGTGAGATCAATAAAGTCAATCTTATCTTGACATCACAATAGTCAAACCCAATAGGGCTTTTTTGGAAAACTATTTCTATAGACTGTACTCTTCCACTCCTCCAGAGTCTGTCGGTCTGCGCGGTCGTCTCTTGAGGAAAGTGGAGTCCCTGAAGGCAGCACAGAGCGGCGTAGACGGTCCAGAGGAGTTCCTCTGTCCCATCAGCAGAGAACTGATGAAGGACCCGGTCATCGCTGCAGGTCAGTCACACCTGCTACATCTGATCAGCCCCTTTTAAAGTGTGTGGTCATTGTACCATGTGACTTCTCCATAGATGGGTATTCCTATGAAAGAGAGTCCATCGAGAGCTGGATCAGAGGGAAAGCCAAAACCAGCCCCATGACCAACCTGCCCCTGCTGACCACACTGCTCACCCCCAACAGGTCACTGAAGATGGCCATAGCACGATGGAAGTCCAGTCAATTGTGATGTCAATGGTTACAATAAATAACACATAACCTCATTTTATGTATGTTAATTAATTTTGTTTTATATATTCCTTACAAGAGATGTATCTTTGGCCCAAGTGAAATTATTATATCATATTTATTATTTTATTATCTTAAAATAATTTGTCTGTGTGCATATCCTGAGTACTCTTATTTCTTTTATTCTGCTGCATCGATGTCACTGACATTTCCTCACTGAGGGACAAATACATCTGATCATGTATCATATTTAGAAAATGCATTATAATCATGACATGTATGTGTAGTGACTGCTAAGGTAATGTAGACCAAATACATATTGGTAAGATCAGGAGTCCAGCTGTTTTCTCAGTGGGTCTTTATTTCTCCTATGGAGGTGTCTATGGCATTAATCTTATGACAGTATGTGATCACAGCTAATAAAGCTCACAATACTGAAACATGGCAACAATACAGTATCATAAAATAGAGCCGATGGCACTGTGCCCTAAACCATGTCTTTTTACAGACTTTTGACCAATATAAACTGCAATTGTAGCATGCGCATAAACATATTCATAAAATGTCTTAGTAGCTGTGCAAAAATAACTATATAAAATATATTGCTTTAACAATGAACCAAGCCAGCGCTGTAAATAAATTAAACTAGACAGCAACAACAAGCAGGTACATAAAAGATTTGGATTCCATGTTAATGCTGATTTATAGAATGTACAAACATATTTAACAAATGTAATTTTACAATAATATCTTTTCAACAACATTGTGCATAAAACTCAAATACACCAGAACGTGTCAATACATTTAACATAAAGCTTCACGGAAATAACAAATATTTATAATATACACAACATAAGGATCATAATATCCTCAATACACAGGAATGCCCACCCCTCACTGCTCCAGCACCAGGACAGAATGAACATTGGACTTCCTGACATGGGCCCCGCGAGCAGCCCCAACATGGATAAAGTGCCTCTGCGCCTCTGTGTGGACCACACACTCCTTCAGTGCAGCTCCAAAACTCAACATGTAACGGAACAGGGATTGTCTGCAGCCTCAACAAACACTGTCCACAGGGAACCAAATAACACACTGTTGTGAGTCTGGCATTAAACGCTCATCTACACGTTGGACTCGATGAAGGATCGCTTTGGTTTGATAGAAGCTACATGGATGGCAGGGTTGTCTCGCATCAGGCCCGGTTTAGCCTTGTCCATGTAGGTGTGCGGCAGAGCCACAGGAGGTTTGGACTCTTTGTAACAGTTGCCAGCGGAGCAGAACTTGTCACTGAAGTCATGTGAGCCGTTCTGTAGACTGTTCATGGCCATGGCCATGTGAGGCTTGTGCTGGTCCTGGTAAGTGCTGGCCGTTTTGCCGTAGGGCTCACTGTCATTGGCTGCTATGCTGTGGCAGAGCATGTCGGAGCTGACTGGCTGGAGAGAGTTGATCCAGCTGTGGTGGTTCTGAGTGTGTGGAGCAGGAACACTGTGCTGCGGCTGGAAGCGAGCCGTCTTATCAGTCACGCCCATGAAGGGGCGGGGCTTGAACTCTGCGCTGCAGCTCTGGTTGTGCTTGCTCTTGTCTGGAACCTTATTGCGGACATCAGGTCCCAGTTTCCCGCTGTCTGACAGGCTGCTGCTGGAGGCCAGGCTGCTGGTGGAGCTGGACACTCTCATGCTCCCTGCTCCTGAGCTGTCACGCACAGGCTCGCTGTGGTTGCCCTGGACAACAGGGCCTGAGCAGGCCAGTCCATCCAGAGAGGAGGAGGATGGAGCACAAAGTTTGTCCTGCACTAGGATCTTGGAGCTGCTGCAGTATGAAGTGTCCCTCAGCAGAGCCTCATCACAGCTGTATCCCAGAGCGGCTGCTGCCATAACCATGCGGTTCTCATACACAGGCTCCTCAGGAGGGGGGCCCAGGGGGCTGATGTCGATGCCCGGGCCTGGCTTCAGGGCACTGGACAAGTGTCTGCTGGGCAGTGGGCTGGAGGGAGCATAGTGTCCTTTGCTTTGCTTAGAGCTCATGTGCTGGTTGGTCTTGACTATCTGGGCCTGTTTAGTGGGCTGCAGGACCAGAGCCTGCTGCTGGGCCACAGCCTCTCTGTGCTCTCGGGGGACACGGGGAGGAGGTCTGTGTCCAGGGGGTGAGCAGGGCTCCGGGTGCAGGGCTCTGCTCTGACTGGTGCTGGGCTGTTCGGAAGAGAAGACCCTGCTGAAGGAGAAGCTGTTGTGGGACCAGCTGCAGGCCTCAGAGGCCCTGCTGTGTTCCTCCTCATCCTCCTCGTCCTCCTCTTCCAGGATATCCCTTTGGTCCAGGGCACGGGGGTGGCAGTGCTCTGGGGGTTCGTCCTGGCCCTCGTCTTGCTCTTTGTCACTCTCATGTCCAGGAGTGTGGTAGGGGGCAGCCGTCGCTCCTTTAGCCTGAGTGCGTTGCATCTGTTTACACTCTTCCTCCACTCGCGCCAGCAGCCGCCGGATCTCTCTGTTGTTGGGGCAGAGTTTGGCTGCTTCGTGCAGGTCGGCCATAGCAGCAGCGAACTGCCTGTTTCACAAGAAAACACACATCTGTTTCATCCGTCACAGAACGCAACTAACACTGCAGTTATACTGTGTCAGTGCTTTACCTGCTGCTGCGCTTGGCCCGGGCCCGAGCGTAGTAGGCCTCATAGGATTTAGGTTTTAGCTCTAATGCCTTTGTGGCAAATTCTTCAGCCATTCCAAAGTCCTGTAAGAGAAACACAACCATTACACTCTGAGAGTCAGCTTTTACCAAATAAGGAGAAAACAACCCGTTTGCATATAGACGTGAATCCTAAAATAAGTCAGAACTACTGTGAATCAAGTCACTGTGGTTAATATTACAGACAGACATTTTTTAATGTAAATTCCAATGTAATTCTATGAGATACTCATTGCATTTCCATCTTAAATCCCACAGTGCAGCAGGCGGGTGTGACAGACACAGTACAGGGACGCAAAGTCTTTCACAGGATTTCATTCCTGTGCCCAGTCTCCACGCCTCGTCGCTACCATCTGAACGCTAACACATGCTCAAACCAGTCCACATGCTGTCCTTCACTGCAGCTTCATTTCCAAACCTCACCCAAAGCTTCTTTTATAACTCCTGTTCAGCTAATAGAATTACAGAGCTTTCAAATATACAGTGACAAAATGTTTAAGTTTGCCTTTTGCATGCTCATCAACAGTGACACAAATATGTATTGTGAGGCTTGTGGTGAAATAATTGATATCGGTTGTCCATGACTACTTACTGTATCGGTTTGGAGAGAGAGACAACTTCAAACAATAAAATATTTGCTATAAAGTAGCATATAAAAGCCTTACATTAGTCTTCCTGCGACATCGGGACAGATTGAGGTATAGCGACACTCTCAGGTCCTTGAAGGCCTTGAGCTCCTCTCCGTATCCTTCTCGAGGAAACTTGCGGAGGGCGTACTGGTACCTCTGAGCCGCCTCTTTCATCTTCCCTTTCTGTAGGACAAACAGGGGGCACAGTGAGACAGAAGAAAGAAGGAGGACGGTGTCTGAAGCACATTTTTCACTCATCCATCACATCGCTGTGCTCCAATAACACAGAGCCCCGCTGACAGCTTTGTCCCCCCAACTCTGCACTCTATCAGCGAATGTCACGCAGCCGTCAGAAGCACTCAAGTGACGGCCTCAAAGTATAAGAATCACAAAAGGAAATCAAAATAGGAATCTGTAATATTTCCACCTTTCCTAGATCCTTTGTTCATTTCCTCAGAACATAACTGCACTGATGACAAACAGCAAAGATGTGGAAGCCAGTCAGGCCACCCCACTATAATCAGTGTTTTTAGTTTAATAGACAGGGACAGTGCACAATAAACAAACTTTCATCAGAGACTCATTGTTCCAGGTTGTAGCACAATAGATGATGTCTGGCTGAGCAGACTGATTGATACAATGAAACATTCAAGGAAAATGAAAATACATGATCTTGTTTCATCCTAAAAAATCTGTACAGTCATGATCTTTCACATCTGTGTTTTGATTTAGTTTGAAATCATCAGGACACTATCCAGAGCACCTACTGTATCTGCAGCGCTCACACAGGACTCATGAGTCATAAGGACCATCCAAGCTCATTGACACACGTGTTTTATGACAGTCCCTGTGAAAGCTAAACACCACATGGAGCACACTACACACAGGGTCTGTAGTTCAGCTGTGGATCCAGTGGAGACTCAGGGTGTCAGTGTCTTTCTCACTGATGTATGAGGAGGTGTGTTTGTGGAGCATGTGCAGGACAATCATTGTAAATCAGCCTGAGGCTCCAACTCTCTGTGTAAACACAGCATGTATGTCACGTGTTCATTAACATGCATAGTCCAGACAAAGAGTGATACGAGGAAAAACTGAGCCCTGACGTCCTTCTTAGCATTTGACTTTCCTGAAAATGCCACTTAGAGCTAACTCAAACAGGGTCCATGGGTGAAAATCTAGAGCTAAATTCTCAGATAGCAACCACCTAGCAGCCAATGATCCAATCAATAACAGCGCTGACTGTTATTATTCTCACTGCCCTGGGGTGAGTTGTTAGGGGTCATATCTGGATTTACAAAGACAATATTACAATAAAAACACGTGTTAGGCCACGATTTACCAAACACATCAACTTACAATGGAAGTGAACGGGAGCCACATCGAATAACTTTGCTTAAATATTTACTCATAAGCACTTCTCTATTAGGCTTCATCAGGAGGGTTAGCACTGTCCACTCCTATATATAATCTGGGTATAACACAATAATTTCATAATATATTTTGGAATACTTCAATCAATCATTCAATGTTTATTTGCAGAGCACCTTTCCTACACAAGGCAACGCAAAGCGCCTCACAACCCATTTACATCATAAATAAATCATCAAACATTAGAATCTACATAACAATTAAAAACACATTAAGAGCACAAGATATATCAAAAACATAAAAAATAGATAAAATGTAAAAGCCATAGTGCATTATAAAGATTAAAGAAAAAAATCCAAGAAAAAATAATCAAGTTGTATGCAAAGCTAAACGGAACTGTTTTCAGCCTAGATTTGAAAACTGCCAGAGTAGACGCTTGTCTCACATTCTCAGTAAGACGGTTCCAGACTCCAGCTGCATGAGTCTAGTACCGACTCTTAGCACCAGCAGGAGGCCAGGATTACATGTAATGCATATATTATGTAATCCATATAATTTTTTACCACCATTCAAACCCAAACTTGAATATTGATAACTCTGAAGGCGCGTCACCTTGTAAAGTACGTTTCCTTCTTCCATCAGCTTCTGCAGAAGGATGATCAGGATATCAGGTTTGGACGTGGCCATGGCCCAAGCAGCATTACCTACATAAGGAAAAGGAAAGACAGCACGTGTTTAGATAAAGGCTCCACAAAATCCAAGTCTTCGGTATCCCCATGATGCTGGTACAAGTCAAGTTACCTAAAGATTGTACCTGATCGATCATAAGGTGAAGTTCTGTAGCCTTTTTAGTGAAAGCAGTGAGGAAAAGAGTCAGAAAAGAGAAGGTTAAGAAATGTCATCATGCAGCAGAGAGAGCCACACATAGTGAGGAAAATGTGTTGGGGAGTGTAGTCAGTTGACAGCGTACAATTATATCCAATTTCCCGTCTGCTGCAAAATGGCCTTTTTATTTTCAGAAAAGAATTTATGAGACTGGTAACGGCTAAAAGGCAATTTCAAGGTCTTTCTCATTACCAGTTGTGAATTTTCGCAGACAGGAGAGTGCAGCGGCGATAAGCGGACAAGCCAGGGTGTCTTAAAGGTGATAAGTTGCTTGCTTAAATTACACATGAACATGCAATAGTCGCGCAGACATGCAGCAATGGAAACAGTCTTTTTCCATAACATTCCACACAATTAGCTAGCTTATTCTTAGCAGCGTGAGATACAGGGCGAGACAGGGCTGCAAACACGCAAGACAAAGCAATGTGTCACATATGTGCTTGAGGGATAGTATTAAATAAGGTTCACATTTCTAGTGGTGAGAAAGCTGGAATAGTATTAGCGGTTATAGACTGAGAACAACACATTTTTTCCACAGAGACTTTGTGGGGTAGCTGGCAACCTTAATATAGTTCATTGGTTAATCTGGTGACATAATACATGCAAGAATAAATGTAAGCTTTTTAAAGGTTTTAATGAGTATATTTGTTATGAGTTATAGTTTTAATGGCTATGGCTATATTATTTATTTATTTTTTGTAGCTGGGGTCTAAAAATATATAATACAACCATTGAAATAATATTATACTCTCTTTGAGGGCTTTGGTTTATTTTAATTTTTTACAACCAAAAATAGATGAAAAATGTTCTGGAATATAAGTAGGTAGTTTTAGGCGTCAGTAATAGCACACAATTCCCAGGAAGTGTGTGTGTGTGTTTTTTCCACACCATTCATAATAAAAGCATTCTAATCCCAGGTGCTACACAGTAAAATTCCACTATAGCATATTATTATTATTATTATTAGTATATTAATATCATTAGTATATTTTAAGATATTGTCGTGATTGTTACAGCACTTTAACATGTACCAAAGCAGCTCCTACCCAATTTGGCCCCTTTCTTCAGTAGAGTGACCACCACAGAGGTATTCCGACAGCCGATGGCCCGGTCCAGAGGCCTCATCCCGCTGTAGTCCACATGCTCGATCACCGCACCTCTCTCCACCAGGTACTGGACCTGTTTAAGCAAAAACACGCTCCTTATAATCAGGCCGAATTGATTTAGTTTGAGTGGGGTTGGGTAAATGTGACGTACAATTTCTGCGTCTCCGTAGAAGGCAGCCAGGTCCAGAGGAGTGCGCCCGTTCTTGTCTGTGTGGTCAATGGCTGCTCCCTTCTCAACCAAAAACTGCACCACGTTCTTATGCCCTTTCAAACACGCCCAGCTCAGGGGGGTCAGGCCCTCTTTGTCTACGGAGGTCATGGAGGCACCTGGAAAATGAATATTACAGGTATGAGTTGTAATAGTCGCTCTAGGTTGAATGTTGCTGACAACCAATCACAGCCTTCTTCCGTTTCTCACGAATCAATCATACCTACTTCGGGAAACATCTGCAATAAATCTACAACCACATTTTTTTGGAAACAGTTCATCCGTGTTGAGCATTTCCTTTTCTATTAAGATCAAGAGATCCTTTATTTGTCCCACAGTGGGGAAATTTCAAAGTTGCATCACAAGTTACAGAACATTAGGAATGAGTAGCATACAGCACAAGATGAAAGAATAACAACGCTATACTAAAATAAAATACAATCTCTGACTCTAGCCTAAAAAAAGCAGTACAAAATCTCTATCTTTAGCATAATAAGGAAAGAAGTCTTAAAATCACCAACTTTAGCATGATGAAGAAGCAAGACTTAAGTACAAAAACCTCGGACTAGCATAATAAGGAGCAAGTATAAAATGCTGTATATATAGTTGCGTGTATACATCTGTGTATGTTAGCAGCATTAGGGTCTGGGACAAATTAAAGGAAATGCGTACAAGTTCTCGAGTTTTTTGCAGTTACACATTGAAGCTCATTACAGCTCCAGTTCATATCAGCTTTGTCGTCCAAAACATTAGATTGACACACAATAGATTGACACACAATAGTCTGCGGAGTACAGAGCGTAGTTTATCATCACAGCTGATCTAAAATGATGAATACATTAGTCTCTGTTCCTGGCTGTTCCTTTCCCCATGCCCTTAGATGCCTTTGCTTCAGATGGAGTAAAAGCAGTCCAGACCCGTTGTCAGATCCTTTGGCATGTGTGTGTGTAAACATAGTGATGGATCTCTTCTAACTCCTCTCCACAGCAGTAGAATAACCAGCCTCCTTCAAACCCTCCATCAAGTACTTCACCACCACGAGTGTCTGGGTTCTCAATATCTCAGTATAAATCTCTTACTTCCAAAAAAGCATGTGCTGTTGCTCCTTTGGTTGCACAAGAAGATAGCAGAGGTAGTAATAGTAAAAGTAATAGTAGTTGTAATTGTGTTACCTTTTGAAAGCAGGAACTCAACAGTATTGAGATGACCCTCACAAGCGGCCACCATCAGCAGAGTCCGGCCCTGTTTGTCACTGATGTTTATGTCCGCTCCGTTCTCTAACAACAGCTCTGCAATCTGTGGAGAGACGCAGATTTAACTTCTGCTGTTACTATGGTCACCACCACAGTTGTCATTGTAGAGTGGATAGTACCCCCTCCCCCTTAGCAAAATAAAAAACTAACACAAATTTGAAATTATTGTCTGGAGATTGCGCTGAAATAATTAATGGTAGAAAATTTTAAAAACATTTAAAAAAAAAGGTACCTCAATGGTTACATACATATGTGAATAATCTGCAGTAAATTAGAAATACATATCGCCATAATCAACTGAAAAGTAAAGTCTTTCAGGATTTTACAGAAAGTCATGTTGAATGCTTTTATGGGCTGCAAAATCCTTCTCATCTTGAATATGCTGGTATTAGCCTGCTTTTGTGAAACAACTTTGAAGAGGCCTTTATGTAGTCAGATTGCTTTAAGACTATTATTGTCTCACTTCCCTTACAAACAAATTAACTATGCAATCAAATCCAACTAACTGGTTCTACGACTGTTTGGTTCTGTCATATGTAGATCAGCTTTTTCAGACAGAAAAGTGAAAAAGAGAGGACCAAAGTGTCAAATAAGTGTCAAACTGGTCAGGTCCCTACATGTTGATTTGCACAGAGAAAAAATAAAGGGAGAATAAGAGCTGAGCATTAATGTGGACAGGGAACCGCGCTCTGGACTCTGCTCTGGACTCTGCTCTGGACTCTGCTCTGGACTCTGCTCTGGACTCTGCTCTGGACTCTGCTCTGGACTCTGCTCTGGACTCTGCTCTGGACTGCGCTTTGGACTGTGTATAGATCTGACTGTGACTAGCCCAAAAGTGCAGCGGGCCTGCAGTTTACACTTTAGTTCCAGGTCATGAGCGATAACAGTGTTTGTGCTCACCTGCCAATGGCCCTGTCTGACAGCACAGAAGAGCGGAGACACCCCTCTGCGGTTCACCTGCTGCACCACCGCCCCCTGCTCCAACAGGAAAGTGCACACATCCATCTTCCCCCGGCCCGCTGCTGCTGTCAGCGCTGGACACAACAAGAAACAGTCACTGAAGACATGTTGACTACCCCACCGTTTACAAGGGCTCATATTCTGCTATATTTGGTTTTATTGCGCACACACACACACACACGCGCATTATGTATTGGTATTGATTTATGGAAAACACATCAATTCTAATTTCTGAGCAGATTGAACACAGGGTTGAACACAAGAACCTATTCTCTCTGGTGAAATCTTGCAGAGAGCTTTGAAGACACATTGAAATTCAACAGCAGACAAAAGGACAGACAAGAGAGATTAGTGTTTTGTTTTCAGAGTCTTGTTTGTATTTCTTAATATTGAGAATGGCAACAACAAAGTGCATTCCGAGCATTAACACTTGTCACTTCATCATCAAAGGGTGTCTTGCTTCGAAGGGAACTCAAACATTTTAGGGAAGGTGAAATGGGACAGGCTCACACTGCTCAGATCCTCAAAGTTGAAATTGGCAAAGTAGTTTTCAAGTTCACAGCATTCATTGCCAAATATAAGATAACAAACTTTGCTAAACCCCCATTATTCATTGATTTTCTGTTGTGTGGAGTTTTCACACACAGATTAGCAGCTCCTGATCCTCCCTAATTCACTTAAAACCATGGAATCGTGATAGTTGAATGCGGCTTCTGGCACGGCGCTCGGGATACACTTAGCAACATGTGCACACAGATCTGCTGAGGGAACCAGAGGAGAGCTCAAGTCTCCTTATCTGAGTGACATCATCCATCTGGAGGAGTGATGGGAGCCAAGCAGCCGCACCCTCCATCTGCTCCCAGTATGGACAACCATGAGCTCCACCGTGCAAACCAATGCTACCACAGTCTTACTTTCACATGATCAGATAACTATTTGTAGAGTTTAAGCAACAGTGGTAAATTTAGACCAAAATGAGCTGCCTGCTGCGACAGTCTATCCTAGTATACAATGGACATTTCACTATACATTTTACACTGTATGCTGATATATATATATATATGATATATTTGAGTCTCTTTCCTCTATCCCCCCCTCCTTTTTCAATTGATAAAGAAACAGCTGTTGTCCTAGCCCCGACTGAAACGTACTATGGCATTAATGGCTTCCTAATACGTTCCAATAACCTGTGGGTCGACAAAACCGTTTCTCAGCATCTATTGGCCCAATTTTCCTAATAACTCTAGCAAGTTACAACCTTATCTGATTTAGCTTGCAAAAAAATCATTTAAGATTAGCCTCTAACATAATCCCTTTCCCTCACATCCGGAAAAGTCATAAACAACTCAATAGGGCAGAAACGGAAAAACACACGGAGTCGATTGACATTCAAGCAACAATCAGCGAAGCATTGATGGAGCTTTTATGAAAATAGGAGCTTGTGAGACCCCCGGAGACAGAGCAGGTGTCACAGGAAGCGTCATTCTCTCCCTACTCCTCCTAATAAAACACAAATTGTACATGCGTCAATGAGTTTCCCTCACAGTGTTAAATTGTCATGTCGATTGCTTGAAAAGAGGGAAGATTAGCGACGGGAAATCCAAACAATTTCCTCCAGCTCTCAGGGGTAAAAGTTTTGGGTGCGTAAGTAGATTCCAATATGCAAATTGGATGTTTTACAAGGCAGAGTCTCAGTATGGAGATAAAAACACAAAGTATGGATGAATACGATTTAGAAAAGCATGACTGGCTTTAGGATGACGTTAGTTGAATTAATGGAAGAGCACTTAACCAGAAAGCAGATTAGCACTCCGGTGAATTAAAAAGAGCTGACAATTACTCAATATACTAGGGACACATTTTCCATTATGTGAGGATAGGTACAAAGAGAAAGGTTAAAACAAACATTTAAATGTCCTGGATTGGGGGGTAGTCTTGAAGTTAGAATACCGGTAACGAAAATACCTACCTTTTATCCATAAATCATCATCACAATGGAACAAGTGACACACAAACTATCATATTGAAAATGTTAAGAACATAAATAGCTAAAATCCATCTGAAAACATGACGCTTCAATATGACAACATGGCCACCACCCCCACTTTCTGTCACCACAAAATGTCATAAGGTTTACAAACTTTGAAGGGGTACAGGACCTTGTACTGAATTCTAAGATGGGACAAACATCCTCAGCTCTATACTTTTCATCTGTCACGACACATCATAGTGCTTCCATCTCCTTAAGTAATAAACCTTATGGTGAAGGAGCCTAGTGTTGAATTACAAACACTACATCCGCACTGACTGCACAAGTGCAATTCTGAAAATGATGTCACTAAATAAACAGTGTGGAAAAGCAGCACTGGTTAAAATCATTAGGATGAATGCAATTGCTAAATTATATTAACTGAACAAACCTAGATTTGAGCTTTTGACCATGTTGAAGTGAAAGTAATAATACATTTCAGCTGCAGCTGATTTTCCACACTATGTTTACTTTATCTCAGTCTCCTGAGATAGAAATTCTATTTATCAAAAACCTCAAAAAAGAAATAGGTGTTTTTACTGACCCTTATTTTATTGAATGCTTTTAAAAATACAAACACTGTTTTCTTCTGTTAAAGCAACATCCTTAATGATTCCATAAAATAGTTTGCTTTTGCTGAGGCACAACAAAGCAAGAATAGTTCAGTCTGTAGAGATGCAAGCCCAGTAACAGTCATCCCATGTAAGTAACGTGGATTTAGACATAATTATTCAAGAAACACAACGCATAATCATCAGTATGCTGGCAACCAGCCACTGAAGTTGGCCTTACTGCCACCCCTATACCAGCCCCATAACCCAGAACGTGCTGATAAAGTAGAGAGCTGTGTGTAATGCAGAGAGATTGATGCGCACATACCTGTCTCTCCCCACAGAGTGTCGTGGCTATCAATTTGCACCTCATGCTCGTTATTCAGCGCCAGCAAACCCCTCACAACCTGCCAACAACAAAACAGAGATTAATGGAGGACTGTGTCGAGCTTAAGATATCATAGAATAACTAGAGGATGCAAATGTGCCATGGGGAATAACATTAGGATGATTGGAACGGCTTCAGATATAATAGTTATAATGTAATTAAAGAGCGGCTAAGATAAATGCTGGGCGATCTGATAAAAGTATGTTTGTTGTGTTACCTAGGTGAGAAAAGCTTTGACTGCCGGTGGTTCAGGGAAATATAAAACACTTTTACTCATTACTGTAACAATCAAGTTTATCTTTCAGTGTTCTAAGAAATGTAGACAAGTAGCCGTATATATGTGCAAAGCCAATTTCAAAAGGCAAAGATGCAGATTGGTGTGGAACAAATGCATTAAAACTCTGAAGCAAGAAAATCCCAGTAAATACAACCATCTGCATACTTTTTCAATAGGTGTATACTAAGAGAAAGTAAAACAATCAGACCACAACATTCTGTCTTTACTGTGTTTTTATGTTGAAATACTTGCATGTGTAGACCTATGGTAGACTTGGCGTCATCTATTTTTGTGTCTGTACCATTCTGTCCAATTTATTGAATATTTGCAGCTGTAGTATCAATTCCTTATAGATCATAAAGATACATTCAATATTAGACTAATAAACCGTTGTATATACTACTGTATCTATATGTGCTTTCATTATACCTCATGCAAATAAAATGAGTCCAACTTTCCCTGCTACGGACTTCCTTCTGCCAGTTGTGTGCTATGTGACCTGACAGCTAAACTTGGCCTGGTTCTGTAGTTCTGTAGCAGACCTCTGGGTCCCACCTCGGCTAATGAGGCAGCCAAAATAAACCTTGAGCTTGTGTTGCACTGAGGCAGCTGAAGGCACCGCAGAGATCGATCACGTCTTCACCAAGGCCAGATACATTGCAAACTCCTTACTATGGACTTCAATTTTGCAAAATGTATCTTTTGATTCGAGTCTTAAGAAACCCACAGAACTATAGATTTTATAGGGTGGAAACAACGTATTTGCTTGTAGGAGATACATAAATTCGCCATAAATGTAGTATACTGTACCAACAAATCTCACTTAAGTTTACACCGCGTGACATATAGTATTTTGCTCTTTGTGTGTTGGCCCATCTTAAGTGCAATTAATGTTAGTGGCAAATTGCACAGCTAAATAAACAGTATGCATATATCATCCAGCCAGTAGTTTACTGTAAAAGTGGAAATTTACAAATAACAAATACTCCCACTGTAGTTGGGTACTTTAGAGATTTCATGACACTTTGAAGCAACTGTGGTTAAAGTTCTAACTCATCATTCAACAATATGCTTAAGGCAGTACTTTTCCACTACATGTTTTGGTATCTCAACGTTGAAGCTACTGGTACCGTGGCGACAGCTGTATAATACACATGCTGTATAATACACATGTACTGTATTCTGTAACGTCTTTGTTCGTGCTGTCTCTACCATCGACAATAAAAAATGTCTTCTGTCTGAATTAAAGACAGCATCCCAGACTTTGTCATCTTCTTCAGTACATTCTTGGGAACTAAATTTCCCATTTCCCATTTAGTATTCTACCATTTTGCTGACTCAAAAGAATAAATTGGACATGAATCATTGATGAGCAAGGTACACCTAATTAAAGCTGAGGTAACCAACTTTTAAACCACAAAAAAATGTAAATGTATTTTTGGCCTTTGTCTCATTAAATAGTGATGTGATCAACTCTTAGCCAATCAAATAGTGATTCTCTTTCTGACTAGTATGCTAAAGATAACATGTTTTCCAATAAGATGAAGACAGTGTGTTGTGGTTTCATTTGTTCACACAATTTTACTTTCTCTTCCTGTAGTGACAGGCACAATGTGTTGGAGAAAACAAGCCAGGTACCCCAGTGTTAAGGCCCATTACTTTTCAGCTTGCGTTATGTCATTGGCAGCTGTAATAAGTGAAGGCAGACTTGGTACCTGTGTGTGTCCCATACTCGCGGCCCCGATGACAGCCTGCTGCAGAGCTCGACTCTTCAGAGGATCCTCCTGCTCCTCGCTCCACTCCAGCTGCAGCAGGTACTCCACGATCTCCAGGTGGCCCCGGAGAGCCGCATGGACCAGTGCACACTGGCCGCTCTTATCCACGTGGTCAACCTTCGCAGCACAAAAAAAGAGCTTTGATTCAATAAACTGGTGAAATACATAAAAACATATATATATATAGATTGTCAGAATGTGATTATCATGAGTCTGACCAACAGCAGAATCATTGCCACAAGCTATGAGTCTGAACTGTGATGTCAGTGGTACAGTAGTGTGCTGTAAATATTTATATATATTTTTTGTGATGTCTTTTTTTATCTGGACCTTGTGACCCTGTGCCCTGTTAAGTCTCAAGATTCAATCGGATGGACAAAAAACCCCTCTCCCCCAATATTCAACACCACTATCACTTCGAGAACTATAGAATGACACAACCATAGTCCCTCGAGCCTTCCACTGACCTTGGCCCCCTTCTTGCACAGGATCATGACCAGGCCCAGGTGTCCGGCTGCCGCAGAGAAGAGCAGAGGACTCATGCCGTTCTCCGCCACCACGTCCACACACGCGCCGTGCTCCAGCAACAGAGAGGAGATCTCCTGATGCCCCAGGTGACACTGCACGCACAGCACTGGGGCGTTGTTCAGGACCTCTGTGCGGTAGTTCACGTTAGCTCCTCCCAGCATCAGCAGCCGACTCACCTGGGAGGAAGAAATACGGGTATATGGTGTGAGGCTGATGACAAAAATGTTTTATACTGACACCATGAGATGTTGTGGATGTTTCTATTTTCCTAAAGTAGTCAAATTATGATCCATATTTCACTATATATGGGTAAATCAAACAGTCATGACAAAAGTTCCCACCTCAACACATCAAATGCTATTTTATGCTTTTGCATCATCGTAAGAAAGAGCTGTAAGAGTAACTATATGACGCTTGGGGCTGAAAGCTGATTGGCTGCGTGAGGGTGGTTCTCCCTTCATAACATTTCTATCTAGAAAAAGGTGATCTAAAGATGTAAGTGAGGCCAAAATGCATGCAAAAACTAGTGTTAGGACTAGTGTATTTTGAGAGCTCTGAAATATTGTATTACATTGTTCGATTGTTTGTGGTTCTTAGGTTAGGTACCCTCTGAACTCGAAAAACACGCTGATGGAAAATGCAACATCAAAATAACCATAGTCAATAAATAAAATGCCAGAGGCTGAAAAGTCAAATGAGTTATCGACCTAAAAATTAAAAAAAAAAACACATAAATCTAGCTTGACTCTCTTTACGGCACCAAGGACAGCGGTGTAAAAGGATAGCTACATACTGTACAATTATTTTACTGTACAGGGAGAAATTCAGCGGAGCAAAACTCACCATCAGAAACTCAAGTGACAATAAATGATATACTACAGCGCCTCACAGTTTCCTAGGGGACGCCGCAAGGTCACAGGGCTTGTTTGTTTAAAGGATTCTTTCACTTGCACTCAATAACTCACAGATCGACACTGCAGAGGATAAAACCCAAGTGAAACAATAAAACGAATGGCACAGACGAATGGGGAATGATTCTTTTCAAAGCTAAATGCTACATCATTTGGACATAATGGCCTTTGTGGGGGAAAATGTTGATCTCAGTCCCAGCTGTGTTAGTTATATTATCATATTATTACGATGCATTACGAAAAAATTGCTTGATATCGGCATAATTTCAACTGCGACATCATCCTGTGAGTAAAGTTCAAAACAGGACTAGCCTACATGTGGGGCCTTCTTCCTTAAACCTTTGCTACATTATCATGTTGAATCCTGCTTAATCAATAAAATTCCAGGCAGTGTCACACAAGCTCAACATGTACCACTGAACTCCGGCAAAACTGACCAAACTACGTCAACTGGAAAAAACTTTGTCAGAGATTGTAGAATATTTTTGCACACCGGAATGTACACATGGATGAAAGCCGGAGCCTTTAACCAGATTTAAGCAACACAATTTAAATGTATTCAGCAGAAATGGCCTCATATCCCTAAGCTGTATCAGGTCTATTGTGTTGGTGTTTTCATTTGTAGAAAGAGAGAAATGTGCTTTGTTTTTTTTTTGTAGAATTAACAGTTTTTTAATTAGGATTGTAGAAAAAAAGACAAACAAGAGCTAAAGCAATTCATTTTAGGTGTCGATTACTATAATATGTGCAAATTACCCCATTTACGCAGTGTCACGTATGTTAGAGTCAACACATTTTCACAAATGTATCAATATTTTTGAAACATAATATAAAAGATTCAAAAATACAGGGTGAACATGCAACACGGGGAGAACATGCAAACTCGATATAGTCTGGAGGTGGACTGTAGTTAGCCGCTTAACTCTAACTGGACAATATAAACACTAAAATACATGCCTATAGATTAGATACCTTTGTGTTACAACTATAACATGTATACATATAAATACTGTTTAATAAATATAATAATTGTGGTTTACCTTGACGTTTGGTGTGTACAGATTTCTAAGCGAAGCCAAAGCTGCAGAAAGACCGTCGGTGCTGCAGCTGATCCACAGAGCCTGCAGCACACTGGACGACACCCCGGTTTTCTTACTCTGGCCCTAGACAACAACACACAGCATGACATCACAGGACATAAGTTAGTCTTTAAGTGAACTCCGTTGGTTGAACTGCCGCTCATCAGCATTGAAGAGGAGCTGGGCGTGTGGAGGGAGTTACCTTGAAGATGTGCGCTTTGAGGATGTGGTGTCCTAGTTCCATGGTCTGCTGTCGGTTGAGTTTTCCCTCCTGACGAGAGAGCATGAAGGCCATAAGAGCGTGGCCGGTCCTGGAGAAACAAGGAGCTGAGTTAATGTGGGAAAGGATCAGCTGAAACATTTGACTAGTCTGCAACATTTTGCATCAACATTCAAAATATTTGTTGTATAAACAGAACGAAGAAAGGAAGATGGATGGATGATCAATCACTGTTTACATGGTTAATCAACTATATGTGGTTATAATGTAAAAACAAAGAGCCTCTTACACCGTGTGGCTCACAATATTTGTTTTTTTCTCCAACATTTTTTGTGACTCTTCCTCAGTAACATCTGCTGTCAGATTAACCATTCTGACAATAAAATCATTCTAAAACCCCCTACATGCTGCCAACTTGTTTATGTTTATTTTGTTTTTTAAAATCTGAACATTGTTCAGAAGTGTCCAATGCTCCTGATGGACTCCTTGCTAACTATGAGACAACCCAAGTCCAAATATGGAACTTGGCTTATGCTTGGCTTATAGTTGCTGGAGCAAAACACTATAGGTGAAGTCACCCAAAGTAGAGACCATGAAAGACCAACCAATCAGCTCTCATCTCAAAACTGTCGGTCAAATTCATAATAAAACAACAGATACATTTTAAGAAAGTCAGTTATCCACATGAAATACAACAAGACTTGGACTTCTATATATCACATGACGTGACCTACACTGAGCACATCTATCCATGCATTAAGGATTCAAGTCATGCAGATAGCACAACCACATTTTATTCCTCTCCCGTTATGAATAAGTCACAAACTACACCCCACTCCTAATATTTCACTGGAGTGTGAAACTCGGGCTCTCTGTTCCAACTTCACTGCCCCACTCTGAAGGTAATGAATGCACAACTTCATTAAAAGGACACGCACGGCTGCCAATCACTTTGATCTGGTCCGAAATCCTCTCCCCGCGCTGCTGTAGACTGAGAGCTCACACCCTGTGCCAGACCGCGAACCTTTGTTTATTTAATGACGCGCTGAAGCCGGTGAATGGGCAGAATATGAAGCCTGCTGCACTAACAAACAGAGCGTGTTGTGGTGAGCAGGGAGCACAAAGACTAGAATACTAAGCACCAGCTCCTGCGTAATCTTATGGTTGTGCATGTCAAACTATTGATAAAGCCAAATACAAGAGATGCATGTATTGGAGAGGTCAGTGCAAGGGCAAAAACATTAGCATAGCATGGTTTTTAATACAATAAGCACCATTTACACCTGCTACAGTATGATTCAATAATAATAATTCAACAGACTAAACCAATACATTCAATGATAGCACAAAAAGATCATTGGAATAAGACAATAATAATGAAAATGTGTTGGAATATGAATTTTGTTAATAATGTTAATTGAAATTTGAAAAATAAACGTACGAATTCTTCCTAAACTTAGAGAAACTTCTTACTAAACTTTTCTTACTCACACACAGAAAATACATCACATCAGTTCAATCAAGGACCAAAAGTGACACATTTCCATTTCACTAGAACTGTGAGGAAAAAGTTTCAGTAAATGATCTCATGAATAGCAATGAGGCGCCTGCAATCAAGACTTAGAGAAGAGAGCTGCGCAGGGTCAAAGGCAAATGGAACAGAACCAGAAGGACTGGAGCAGCTGGAGATGCTCCGACTACAACGCTGCATTTGCATAGCTGATTACATTAGCGCAGCATGTGTCCTTTGTTTGATAATAAAGCCATAATTCAGTGTACTGCCAACATCATCAGTAATGAGATGAGCATCCTTAAAACTATCACAATGACTCATGGTTTTCATCTGGATGTTTATTTAAACTAATGTAGCGGAGACGAAGGCACTAATCTATTCTCATTTATTACAAACCTGAAATTCCTGGATACCAATTTAACTACAAAATGAAGCAGTGGCTGAAGCACTTTTGTAACCATGACACAAGCAAAATCCAAATATGGAAATGTTGTCATGTTACGGTCATAAAACCAGAGCTACAATAGAATGGTTTAATGTCTATGTCTCAGTGGATTGGATCTGTTTTGAGTTACGAACCAGGTCTGCAAATTAGCCTTGAAACAGAACATGGCATGGGCTGCTTCAACTACAAATTATCTACATAACACTATACCGTGAAAGCTCGCAGCAGATTTTTCCAGTCAAAGTCAGTAATAAGCAATGGCGCCTTGAAAGCAGGAGATTAAACATACCAAAATGACTCCAAATCTCTGAAGTTGTACAGTTGAAGTACTTTCCACAGAATATCCACTTTACTCCAACCTTTATGACACTATGAAACCTAAAGGGACATTTGATATAAAATCCTAACAGATTGACGCCAACTGACCTGGGATCACAGAGGAAATCTGTGCTCTCTCCATCTGCCCTCCACACCAGCCACTCCCTGAAGGACGGGTGACAGAACATTCGCGTCTTGTCCCTCCTCTTGATTAGAAAACAGGACAAGAGCTCCATGCGCTGGTGAAAGTCCTCCCAGGGCAGCTCTCCCCGCACAAACCCTGCATTGATGGCCTGGAAGAGCTGCTCGTCCGTCAGCGGGTGCAACGAGGCCAGCGCCACGTTCAAAATGGGCAAGGAGCGCTCGTAGGCAGAGTTGGTCATGAACTTCATATTGCACTGCAGTTGGTATAGCTCCGACACGGACACAGGGACGACCTTGTAGCTGGCACTTTTGATGACGAGGTGGCCCTTCTCAAAGAGGTCCATGGTGAGTTTGAGGTACAGGTAGGAGCCCTGGCTGCGGGAGATGAGGTGGCTGCTCAGCTTGCTCACGGTGAGGGGGTCGGCCTTCCCGTTCAGGCTGATGTTGTTGGCAATTTCCCGGCTGCCGTTGACCCGGTATTGAATGTAGGCGTTAAGGTCACTGCTGATCTCCTTGTTGTCTGTGAAGTCGTCCAGGGGGATCTGGGTGAAAGGCAGGCGGCTGGTGATCTCCTGGGACAGAGAGAGACATAAAAGTTATTCTGTCAGCTCTGTAAACCACAGGTAGATTTTCATTGTGATTATAATTTCATTTGTAGTTTCAGTTAAGACAATGTTCAAAGCTTAGTAGAAGAATTCAGGAGGGAAAACCAAACCCTTTAGAAAGTCATTTTATTAGACGATATTGTCACTGTTGAGTTTAATTGACAAGCAAATTCTCCAAGTCAGATAATACCGGACAGGCCTTTTCTATTATCGGAATAGGAAATATTTCATTGCCATTGTAAGTAACAGACTTATAGTAGAGTAAAACAAAGTAAGTAAGTATCATCAACCGCCTTTATTTATATAGCGCCTTTCACAGACCAGAGGTTTGAGATTATAATACCTAATATTATGATAGTAGATAAAACACATATGGATATACATGGATAACAAAGTAGAAAAGGGACAGTACACATTCATCAACATAACTTGACTTAAGTTGTTTTATTTTTCTTCACATTTAACTTTACAGGATAACTTTGCTGACTTGTTTCCTGAATGTAAAATGTGTGTCTTGAACAACAGCCAGATATGTGTATTATGTCACTACATTAATGCTCTCACCAGCAATGCACACACACACATGGGGTTGGAAAGAACACGTATTTGTTTTTTCCACATTCAATTAGGTGCAGGCACGACCTGAGGAGACATTCTCAGAACGCTTTTTAGCTGCTTCCATCTTGTCTTCACCATATGCATAGATCACAGTCGTCAGGAAATAATGCAATCTAAATAATTGCTGTCTCTGCGATTTGCAAATTGTGGCCACTAAAAATGCTATTTCAATTCGATTGCAATGAATCATGCAGCCCTGGAGAAAAGTGAAAATAATTTGCTGTAAAAATGAATAGTTAAATAAAAGATATTGTTGAATTTGACAAAACAGGGAAGATGTCCAGTGATTTTATGGTAAGGTCCTAAAGAGTTTGCCCTTGTGCTTTACACTATACACCCGGCCAAATATAGTACATGTACTATGTTCAGATGGGCGACAACACTGTATTGATTAAACCGTATGTAAATGTCACCACATTCCGAGTGCATGTACTTTATGTCTGTTTCTGCTAAGTCAAGGGAAAGCTCGTTTTGGAGTCCATGCATCCATTGTGCTATGGTTCAGCGATCACTCAATGGAATGTAAAGGTCCAAAGGTGGATACAATGAATGGTCCAGTCCAGTTTGGAATGTGATTTAATATAGCCAGTTTAGAGGCTACATAACAATAGAAATCCAAAGTTTCAACAGAATGTATTAATTTTACAATATATCCAGCCAAACATTGAAGCTCCAAACATTTATTTTTGTCTTCATCTTATTGAAAAACATTTGACATTTTACATACGGTGAGCTGATTGACTGAGTGACTCTCTTTTCACTGATAAAGCTGGTCTAAATATATGACAGACGCTAAAAATACATGCATGTGCAAACAACTAAATTGAACCAGACAGTTGTGAGAACTAGGGAACACGTTACTAGGAATTGAATTATCCTTTGTGGTTAAAAAGTTATGTACTCCAGCTCTAATAACTCAAGAAACAGAAATAACATTGCTGCTACTCTCAGTGGACAAAATTCAAAAACTAAAGAATGTACCTTGGTGATGCAGCACAACATAAAAAAATGGGTTAAGAAAAGTCAAATCTAACACCGCATATTTGACTCTTGGCTGTTTATAGTGAAAGGAATCCCAGTGTTTGAAAACATCTCTCCAATCACCTGTGCATCTGTGTGCACTGGGAAGGCAAACATGCTGAGCTATCTGACCCACACAGACGCCTCTCACAGCTTCAAATATGACTCGGAGGAAATAGGGGACAGCCAAGTGTGAATTAAGAAGCTCACAGAGACGATGAATAGATGGAAGGACAGGAAATGATGAGGCAACCGGAGCTGTTTGGAGTCACTGAGCGGAGGTCTAGGACAGCAGCTCACTTTTCAATCTATGTCCTGGAGCTGGTGGAAATCAATGCACCTTAATCCTGAAATCCTCTGCCTGTTTGCGGCTCCAGAAACATGGCCTCAGTAAGATAACACACCCCTCTCGCTCAGGCCAGCGTGAGGCTCCAGACAAATAATAATAGAGGAGGTGACACATGCGAATCGGGAGGTGAGGGATAGATAATGGGAAAGTTGCAAAATAAATCAATATACCTGAAGTACAAGGGGCAAGAATGCAAGGCTATGTCAAGGGGATTATGTGCGACTGTATATCACGGGATGATCGCAAAGCAAACAACAACAAATATAAGACCAACATTATGTTATTCTCTGTGAATTGTGTCAATAAAATAGCATAATACGGATAAAAATCACTGCAAAGACAGAGCAGAAAAGGTAATAATAACACTAGTAAATGGCTTATTTACTGTTGAGAACAGAACGCGTAGATTGTTACTGCACACTGTTGTTCTACGTAGCAACTTGCACAATGCATCTTTGAAGATCTCATGGTCAACAACTTGGAGATTTGACTTTCGCCACTTCCGCTCGGCTCTCCGGCACTCTCTCTTCTGTGCCCTGACAGAGTTCGCTTTTGTCCATGGCGCCTTTTGCTTATTTGTAACAATTTTGACCTTTACAGGAGCAATCGTGTCCAGAACATCCAAAACACTAGAGGTGACAGAGTTAAGTAATTCATCCACAGTAGAACACAACGTGTTATCAAAGTTTATCATCCCCATGAAAAGTTCACCTGTATTTTTGTTTATGTGTCTTCTTCTTCTAACAATTGAGGATTCAGCTCGTGCTTTACTATTGAGACACATATCAAAAAATACACAGAAATGATCTGACAGAGCAACATTGGCCACATTTACATTTGAGATATTAACCCCTTTAGTAATTAGCAGATCGAGAGTGTGTCCTCTGCTATGGGTGGGGCCACTCACATGCTGAGTGAGACCAAAGGTCTCCAGTACAGAGCTCAGCTCTTTCGCGTATCTATCATCAACGTTATCTACATGTATATTAAAATCACCTATGACGACTAAACTATCAAAGTCTGTGCACACAACTGAAAGCAACTCGGTGAAATGATCAGTGAAACTATGACATGACTGTGGCGGCTTGTACACAACAATAATAAGAATAGAAGATTGTTTTTGTTCTATTTTAAAAGAGACATACTCAAATGAGGAAAATTTCCCAAGAGGTACTCTATGGGAGACAATACAATCTTTAAAAACTGCTGCTGTGCCTCCTCCTCTTTTATTTTCTCGAATTTCTGATTCAAATTTGAAATTTGGTGGTGTTGTTTCTATTAAGACTGCATTTTCTGTATTATGGTCAAGCCAAGTTTCAGTCATAAACATAAAGTCAAGATCATAAGAACAGATAAAATTATTAATTAAAAAGGATTTATTGCATAGTGATCTGACATTAAGCAGAGCAAGGTTAAAAATAATATCAGTGTCAGTGGGTTTAGTTGATTGACTACAAAGAATTGGAATTAGATTTCCTGAGTTGGACCGTCTAACTGCTGTCCTTCTGTTATATTTGTGTTTATTCAAATTAAAACACATTTCTGAGCCGGTGCGAGGAACACACACAGTCTCTATTGGTTTAAAAAGTGAACTCTGTTTTACTTTGTTAAGTTCCAGATGCATGACTGAGTAAGTGCCGTTCAGTGGCAGGACTGGTATTACACTGCCAGACGGACAGGGGTCAGTGTTTGCACCACAGTACTCACCTGGTGCTGGAGTGGAGGAGGAAGGTGGTAGTGGGGGCCGAGGGGCCTCGGATGTAAACAGTCACGCCCCCCTCGGGGAGCACTGAACAACATGGCATAAAAAGTCCATCAATAAACTGGTACCGTATTTGTTCGGGTGCAGACCGTCTGGACGATAGGCCACGTGACGCTTCCAGAACAGGCCAAAGTTGTTCACAAAAACAAAGTTAAAAATGCTGCATGCAGACTGGAGCCACATATTCAGCGCCACAACGCGACTGTACAAGCAGTCTCCCCGGTTTACAGTCGGGACTGGACCAGAGATAAAAACACACAACCCAGAGGACTGGAGGAGGCGGAATAGATCCATAAAATGCTTCTTTGTGACCTCGGACTGCTGCAGCTTCATGTCGTTGATCCCCACATGCACGATTACCTTTGAAATGGTATCAGGCAGGGACTGAAGCAGAGGAGGGAGACGGATGAGCAGATCTGGGACAGTAGCTCCAGTAATGCAGTGAGTGACCGCGTTAAAAAAGCGGACGTGCCTCACGATGGAATCTCCAACAATCAAAGTAGTCGGGGCGAAGAGTGGACGCGGCCGCGGAGAGGGCGCTCGGTGTCCATGGCCAGAACCAGCGGGCTCATCCAGGGATGGGTCCGAACCAGGGCGCTGCTGAACACATGGAGGGGAGCGGGGGTGTTGATTCCCAGCTCCGGGCAACCCACGCTGTGTGCACGGAGACGCTGGAGCAGCGAGAGGAGCAGGCTCGGGTCGCTGCTGCTGACCCGGTGAAGGTAAGCGGTGGTGATGCACTGGGGTCAGAGAAGGGGAATGATCACTCTTTCGTCTGAGGACAGCTTCCTTTAAGAGTGTCTTTCTCGCAGTGGACCTGGATCCACGGACAGCAGTAGAGTTTGCTGCAGAGTCCAGGGGTTCTGCTGAGGGGGCTGGAATGTCAGCGGAGAGGGCTGCATAGCGGTTTGAAAGGCTCAGGACATGGGCCACGGCGCTGGATGGCTCCTCGCAGTCCGCAGGCTCTTTATTCCGAACCGGGCACTTAGGTGTAGAACAAGAGGGCCCAGAGCTGACAGATCTCTCCCACACGACAGTGTCACAGTATGCAGCGCTCAGTGACATAAGCCGTGAGTGCTGCCCGCCAGCGACATCAAAAAGTTTGGACACGAGTGACTGTTTATCCTGCAGCTCTGCAGTGAGGCGAAGGACTTCTTTACGGAGGTCTGCAATAGTGGCACGGTCCCTCTCACGAAGCTCCAATGTGAGGCGACTAATGTCGTTCGTGGTCATTGCAGTGTCACTTTCCATGTCTGTGGTGCGCTCGTGGTAGCCTCCGAGCTAGCGCGTTTCGATTGGGTCTTTGTGTTAAAAGACGTGATGCTCTGGAACCATTGCATTTAAGATAATAACACACTGTGTACAAAAGACACTAATACACCGTAAAAACGTGTTTAAAAGGCTTTAAAAGGCTTAAAAAGGGTAAACAGAGCAGAGACGTCAAAACGCGTGCTCACTCACGCGTGCTCACTAGGGCTGATTCTTGACTAAATCAGCCCTAAATCACATCAGTAGTTATCCCAGAGGACTTAATAAAACCGATGAATTCACCAACACAGACAAGAGAGAAATTGGGTTAAAGAAAACAATTTGTGAAGGGTATAACGCAACATGTTTGTGAGATAGTGATATGATCTAGTATGAAATGTTGAAATAATGAATTTTTTGGTATATTAGAGAAGTATAATTGTCCATTTAAGAATTTTATTGTATGTAGTAGTTGATTTCTTCTCAAAATAATCTGATTTTCTCCATTATGCTGCGTAACTTTGCAATGACCTGAATAATAAGGCAGATGACCAATATCCATAAGTGTTGATAAATGTCTGTAGATGTACATCTGTAGGCGAGCATTTATAATATATAATTCCCAACTATATGTTCTCGATCAGTTGACCTAGATCTTCAATGAGAATTTGCGATGGACATTCCATTAGGGACTGCTTTAACCTGTTTGTCACCAAAGCTACTTAAGCGCAGTTAAAGTGATTGATCATAGTACGAACATGGGTGCTCAATGATCCATCACTCCTCTGTACCAGCTGTCTATGGGACATGTAGAAGGCATTCTTGTAATTAACCTCATGTTCTCCCCATTTGGGACATTAATGTCTGCTTCATTTTCCTGGTTTTCACTGCGGGAGTCCACTTGAAATAATTCAGAAACTATTTGAAGCAGGCAAGAAGCGACAAAACCTGCACTTGCCCTTAGAAGACCTGTGATTATGATTAGTGTTATTTGAAGAGAGGGAAGATGGGCCCCATGTGAGGTGCTAATTGTGAGAATGAAAATCACAAAACGTTTAAAAAGATTTGAAAAGTTCACTTGAACATCGCACTGATATCTTTTTTAAATTAACAGTGTAACCTACCTTTGGATGATTTGATGTAATTAAATATCCTAACTTCAAATGTAATGGGAGTCCACAGTGATTATGTCTTGAAGGCATGGAATTTTGTGCCTATTTTTGGTTTTCATATAATTAGGTCCAGTAGTACAGTAGTGTTTTTTTTTCTTTTGTCGTTGTAGTGTCTATTCCAGAGCATGTTTTAATTGTTGTTCAACAAATGAGCATTTTCGAAAGGTTATAGTTCTTTTTAAAATTAACTCAGATTAACTCTTTAGGTGATCACAACCTCATCTTAAAAATCTTGCATTGGGACATTAACATGACATTTGAAATGGTTTATACTGCGAATGTTCCATAGTAAGCAATACATTGATTAAGTACCTAATTATATATTTTGTATTTTCAATAGTCTAATCTCAACAAAATGTTTTTTTTTACCAACCCAAATATATCTTGCATATGATTATCCCCCCCCCCCCCATCCATATTAATCTTTTTTTTACACTGTTCACTTGCAAATGTTCAAAAACTCTCCAACCGCAAGAAAAAGGAATGGCTGGTTGTTCATGAACACACACACTGCAGCTTAAGCAACATTCACTTTTATCACTTGTCAGGGTTTTTAAAAAAGTACAGTGAGCTGCCTGAGCCATGA